GCCTTCTCCTCCTGATTCTCCTTCTTCTTCTTCTTCTTCTTCGATTATCGCATCATCCGAATTTAATTGAACAACCGAAGGCTGTCGAATTCGCGAAAGAATCGGTCGGTTCTTTCGCGAAATCCCGATTTCTGCTGCAGCAAAATTCTGATGGCTATTCAGCAAGAAATCCAGCTTCGATTCCTCTCGATTCTTCTCTGCTTCGTAATTGTCGTAGTCTTCACTCAGCGTAGAAAGCAAGAAATAGCTGTTCTCTGGAAGAGGATTGAACGAATAGCCATGGATCAGATTGGCAGTCGAAAACTCTCCATCGGTTGTGGTCAATAGCATCAGATTGCTGATGTCTTCTTTCTGCACGAAGAACTCACCGTCCACGTCGCATCCCGAAACATTCTGCCAATCGAACGATTCATACGCCATGCCTTTCAGCAACAGCGATATGCGGTTCCAGGTAAACACGACAGAAGTCGGGACGATGAGATTCTCCAGAATGAAAGAAATGTCAGGGAAGGAGATTAGCTGGTTGAGATATTTGTTGGATTTCAGAATCTGGGCGTTCATCAGTTGTTGTCCTTTCTATCCGTCAATTCCACAGAGTAAACTCACCGTTATGAGGATTGCGATCGCGAGAATCAGCAGTTCGCTTACCTGCGCAGCGTCCTTCAATCGATCTACCATGGAAGGGTCGATCGAAATCGGCTTGGGAGGAGGCTGACAAACCACATTCACGATTCCATCGATCATTTCATCCACCACTTCATTCACTAAAATCTCATCCTCTAGAGAGTGATCGTTGTTCTCCTGCGTCTTATCCAAGAAAATATCGATCATGGTCGCGACAGTTTGATCCACGATCGATTTCGTTTCTTCGACTTGACGCACCACATCCGACACGATTGAATCCACAATCGAATTGGTGATGTCTCGAACGATATCTTCTTTATTCAACACGGTATCCACGATCATCTGTGTCTGGTTTGTCACTTCAAAAAGCGAAGGTAACTGTCTCTGTTCATCTCCATGAAGAATCGAATCCATTTCGTGGGTTGCGACGCTCAATCTCCACGCAAACGTAGTCATAAGATTGGCTTCACAGAGGTAATAGAGACGCTGCTCATCGGCTTTAAAGACCGAACTCGTGAGAATGTGAAGAGCGTATTGCTGTGCAATGAGATCTTGTGAATAGAAAGGATCTTGAATGAAAAGCTTGAGAATCGAAAACACTCCGTGGGCAAGAAAATCCTATCGATCATCGCGTTCCATTATGGTTACTTCGATCATAACATCATTGTACGAACACATTTCACGCAAGAGAGTCAATACGATATAGAGTTCCTCTTGATAGAACGACGTGATTTTCCTTTCCGAGTTCACAGACGACGGATGGCTTGCAGAAACCATCTGCACTTCTGTTTCGTGGGTTACCATTCCATTCGAATTCCCTTGGAATTGCGACTGTGAATTCGCAGTCTCTTCAGAATTCGAGTAAGAATTCGAGTAAGAATCAGAATCCGTTTCTTCTTCAACTTCGTCGTCATCTATTTTCACTTCCCATCCAAACCAATTACCCGGTTCACTCATCAATCGCAGCGAATTCTTCAGAAGAACCTCGATCAGAATCACCACATGTCGAAACAGCGGCTGGAACTCGGGAGGAACTCCGTACTGCGTCAGCGTCAGAAGAATTCGCAGGCATCGAATGCGATAAGAATACGACAAAAACTGAATTCGATAGATTAGCTGCGTTAAAACCGACTGTCGCATCAACATCTGCTCAGCAATCCGCACGCAATCGTACTTCGATCTCTTCGGGAGCGTTGAATTCGCAGACGATCCAGTAGAAGATCTTGAGAATGAAGTCCAGATTGGGAGAAGTGTCGCTCGATACAGAGAGAATCCAGGATAAAAGCGGAAGAAGCTCAAGGCAGCGCTGGAATGGACGAGTCGTCAGCTCGATTGTTGTGAGACAGGACGAGATAAACTGCAAGAGAATCTTCTGCATTAATGAATCCTTTTCTTTCTAAAAGTGAGGATTTGAAAAAAAAGAGAAAACAAAGTCGAGATCGAGAATGCTATTTACAAAGTTGCCATTGAGGATGATTTCGATCGATCCAGGGTCGATTTCAACGGCGTTACAAAGAGCGAGAATGCAGTTATTGCACACCAATGGCGAGGGGGTAACGCGAACCAACCGAACGATTTGAGAAACCATGGTATCGATAGAAAGACTATTGTAGAGTCTATTCGCCATAAGATAAAAGAGAATAAAGGACATACTCTTTTTCGGATAACACATTTAGAAAAATCCACGATGCATTGAATTGGAACGCTTCTGAATATTCCGGATCGAGGAACAGAGCAACTTGGGCTAAGATTCCAGAGTCGTTCAGAAGATGGTATGGAACGAACTCATTTTCTACTGTTAATATATATATACAAGAGTACCCAGCAGTGTATAGTCACGAATAATTTGAAGAGCTTTGAATTTCACAGTAGTGTCACCTGTTTTGAAAAATGCATATAAATATGGAAACTACAGTTTGATTCCTCTCCAAATTTAAATACAATGGATTTTCCAATAAAGGAAAAGGCATCAGCCACCGTAGGAAAGGACAGTCCTTTGTAATAACTGGATATCTACATTACAGCAATCAATTTTCACTACAATCCCCAATATCCGCCTATCTTCCTTGTTCTTTTCGATGAAGGTCTTTGCTCGGTGTGTAAGCTTAGTTAACTCTTCCATAATCCAAGTAGCTCACTTTTATGACTTATTCCCTTTGTACCGTTTTTTAGAACAAAAAAAGAATAACAATTTCTTTGAGTTTACCTTTTCTTGATATTCTTCAGGATAGTATTTACACTGATATTGGTTGATTACTTGCTTGTCTACCATGCCATTCTTGATGTATAATATCCGGTTTGCATAACACTCCAAATCCGGGTTATGAGTTACCATGATCATGGTAATTCCACTCTCAGGAGTTACAGGTTCAAAGCGAAACTTACGCGATTTAGGTCTAGGAGGATATTCATCACTTCGATTGTTGTCCGGCTATCTAGATCGCCTGTAGGTTCATCCAGCAGCAAAATCTCAGGCTTGTTCGCCAAAGCTCTGGCTATCGTGACTCGTTGCTGTTCTCCTCCACTCAGCTCGGACGGGAGATGATAAATCCGATCTTGCAACCCCACATCGACCAACAATTGCATAGCTCTTTCCTTCTGTTCCTGCGCAGATAAGTCTCCTGCAAGCTGCATAGGGAGAAGCACGTTTTCCAAAGATGTGAGTGTGGAGATCAGATTAAAGGTTTGGAACACGAATCCAATCTATAGAGTAGTGTATTCACTCCAGGAATACATGACGCAGCCGAATTTCGGCTAATTCCTTGTCTTTGGCTTTGTTTTCAACATGCTTTCCAAACAAGTAGAGCGCGCCGGAAGTGGGCTGGTCGATTGTACCAATGATGTTGAGGAAACTTGTTTTTCCACTGCCGCTAGGTCCTCGAATGATCACAAACTCGCCACGTTTCACAGGAAACGAATCAACACTGTTGTCAAGCGTGATATTGCGCAGGACGACCACTTCTCGACCATCTTGCAGTTTGTAAGACTTCCGAAGGTGACTTGTTACAACAATGTCATCTTCGTTGATTTCAGGAGGCACTTCTTGGGTTCCAGATTCAATGGATGGAATAGTCTCTCCCTCGGATTGCATTTGAAGTTATTATTTGGGCGAAGATAGAATGGGTGATTTTCAATAATTATTCTTCCATTCAGACTCACCAGTTTTGTTTAGTACACCATAATACTCTTTGATTCGTTACCAATTCCACAGATAAACTATTTTTCATGGAATGAGTAAACGCCAAAAGCTTCAACAAATCAGACTTGAATTGGAGCAAAGTTTATATGCAATTATTGATGAAACGTTTAGCAAACTACAAGGTGAGTTTGTGATTGTAAGCTTGGTCATCGATAGAATTATTTGAAAGTGATTCTGATGCAGACCAATCCGATGGATCTATAATCGATATCTCCAGTAGCAGTCAACAAACTAATGTATCACTATCGTCCCTCCTTTTTGTGCACTTCACAGTTAGATCGTCGGATTGTAACAATGGTACAAAGGATGAATCAGAATCAGATGTTTTCAACACTTCTTTGGTCAACCTCCCTTTTTCACAGCAACAAACGACTCTCTCTACAGAGGAAGAGCCTTCTATCAACCCCACAACCGCATCTTCTCAGAAAACGCCAGTCCAATCCCAAACTGATTCGAAATCGCTTGTCTCTCCTGTGTTGGCCAAGCGAAGGAATCAATCTGTAAAACGGGAGAGTAGCGAGCAGTCCAACAATCCCTCACCTATTCCTAGTAGTGAACAACCTTTTCTCTCGCCTGATTCTGCATTCCGAAGATCGTTACTGTGTGTTACACCCATCAAAGACAGGAAGGTGAAGTCTGCGAAAGCAACAAAGCAGCAAAGTGATACACCTCCCCATTTTTGGAGTTTAGATATGCCTCCAACTCCCTAACTATACTCTTTTCTTCTTTGTGATAATAAACAACTCATGTTTTAGCCCTTCTTTTATGGGAAGGACGTTTGCGCAATGTTACTTTCATTCCATTTAACTCAAAGGATATTCGGGTCTTTGATGGAGTCTCGAGGACTCGAATGGGGAGTGCATCTTCCTTTTTCTTCATTTCTTGCTCGTTTCGGAATTTCATAATCGAGTCTTCGCTGCTATCACTATCACATTCTTCTTGTTCTGCTTCATTCTTCTTCTTGACAGTTTCCTCCGTTTCTTTTATTTCATCTTGACTATCTTCAAGAAGGACATTCGAATTTTCCGAATCTTCCATCAACCCGAAACTTGAAGTGTTTTTTGCGTAACCAATTCACATTATTCATGTTCCTATCCTAAACCATTTCTTGATTCTATTAAGCCCCTGAAGAGATTCAGTTCATTTTCATTTTCATTTTCTGAAACTCCTGGGATCGATGGCGTATATTGATAGAACAGAAGAATTTAGATTAGCATCCAATGTTCATATGGGAAGTGCCGTTCAGCCAAGAGTCAATCTTCCTCCTCCGAACTTTTCCGTGTCTAATTTTTCGAAAGTCACTGCATCTCTGTCAAACCGTGTGAGTAAAACGACACTCAAGTTGCAAAGACTCACAGATCGTTCGTTTCCTAATTCTGTTGAATTTGTAGTTGTTAGAAAGAAAAGTTTGTTCGATGATAAATCCACAGAAATTAACCAGCTTACTGGCTCTATCAAGTCTGACATTACCAGTATTAACCTGGAACTGGAAGAATTGGAAGTACTTATTTATCTAGATATTTTCCATGTAGAAATTCGTGCAAATGCAAAAGTATTCCTCTTCACAGAGCCGAGAATACGATCAGGGAGTTGTGGAAGTGCTAAAAGAAGAGCTCATGGGAACGACGAAAGATTTCCGGAAAGTTCTGGAGGTTCGTCATGAGAATCTCCAAGAAACGGATAAACGACGCCAGCGCTTCGGTGGTTCAGCGCCCGATATGCTGGGCAAGCCCATCGTCTACAAGTCTCGCAATGTATGCCTCGCAGCCTGTTTATGAGCAGCAGACAACGCCCGTGGATCAAGGCGACGAGAAACAGCCGTTGCTTTCTTCAACGCCACAGGTAGGAGTGGGATGGGAAGCTAACAGGAAGAAGGAAACTCCCTCGTTCTCAATCCAAACGAGCGATGTGATCGCGAACGACTATCTACACGAGCGAGCACAGGCTGTTCAGGACATAGAGGCACATATGACGGAACTGGTAGGGGAGAGGAAGCGTCTGAACGGAAGGGGAACATTTTCGAGCGATTGTCGACGATGATTACGGAGCAGGGAGAGATGGTGGATCGTCTCGATGATAATCTGGACGCTGCCGAGGTGAATGTAAACATGGGATATCAGGAAATCGTGAAATATGGGCAGAGCGTGTAGGAGGCGGAAAAGGATTGGACTGATGCGCAGGTTCAGCAATCGCAGTCTTATCATGAAGCTCTTTGCTGTTTTAATCTTCTTCATTATTTTCTTCCTTCTATTCTTAGCTTGGATTGTTTGTTTTCACACATCGGAGAAACGTGGAATTTTTGGGTTGTGAGTCATTCACCCCTATGCTCTCATTTTCCAGACTTGCTGCTAAACGAATCTCGACCCGCATTTCCTCAAGATCCTATGGCAAAATCCGTGAACTGACTGCAACAGTTCCTAACAAGATGCCTAAGGTTTGCAGTTCTGAAGAAGTGGTGGAGTCTATCAAGAGTGGAGATCACGTAATCCGTTAAATTTGAGTGTGAGGATAGGTGTGGGTTCATATTGGTCCCTGTTCGCCTCTTGGTTTGTTAAATTCTGTTTGTAAGGTAAGGGGGATTCTTTCTGGAGTGAAATTGACAGACGGCGGCTGCTCGCAATCTTAAGAATGTGGAGATGACCCATATGCTGACCTTAGGAGAAGCTCCGTACACCAATCCGGGTATTTCTAATTTCCTTTTATGAGCGTATAGAGTTTGACGGTATTTTCAACACTCGCAACCTGTTTGTGGGTGGAAACACGCGAAAGGCCGTCAACCGCGGTCAGAACGACTACGTTCCTATCTTCTTCGGAGAAGTCCCCGAGTTCCTCCGCAGCGGACGCTATCATCTCAATGTGTGTCTTCTTCAGCTGTCCCCTCCCGGTACCCCAGCCATTCAATGCCAATGTAGACGAGCACGGTTTCTGCACGCTGGGAGCGAGCATCGACTGCACGCGCGCGGCGGCGGAGTGCGCGGACGTGGTGGTGGCGGAAATCAACTCGCAGATGCCTCGCTGCTATGGCGACAGCCTGATCCACATGAGCCACTTAGACAAGGTGGTGTACGTGGACCGTCCGATCCCGAAATACGTGCTTCCGGGTGGAAACGGCGCGGTGTGCTGATGGGTAGAGCAGGACGAAGTGCAGATGCGGATCGGCAAACTGATCGCTGACAACTTGGTGGAGGACGGATCGACGCTGCAGGCGGGCATCGGCGTGATCCCCGACTCGGTGATGGCGAATCTGAAGGGACACAAAGGGCTGGGCGTGCACAGCGAGATGTTCTCGGACGGAATGATCGACCTCATCCAGTCCGGCGCGATCACCAACGAGTTCGTAGGCCGATCGGGCGAAGGGTGAAGCGCAGAAGCCGCTGGATCGCGGATGCTCGACGACGTGCTTCGTGATGGGCACGGAGAAGACGTACAAGTTCGTGCACAACAACCCGTCGATTCAGATCCGCGACGTGGGATTCACGAACGATCCCTTCGTGATCGCGCAGATGCCCAAGATGGTGGCGATCAACTCGGCGATCGAGATCGATCTGACCGGACAGATCGTGAGCGATTCGATCGGCCCGCGGATCTTCTCGGGCTTCGGCGGACAGGTCGATTTCATTTATGGAGCGTCGAGATCGAAGGGCGGAAAGCCGATCATCGCGATGCCGTCGACGACGAAGAAGGGAGAGAGCAAGATCGTGGGCTTCTTGAAGCAGGGAGCCGGTGTGGTCACAACGCGAGCGCATGTGCGGTTTGTGGTCACGGAGTACGGAATTGCGGACTTGTACGGAAAGTCGCTCAGAGAGAGAGCGAGAGCGCTGATCGATATTGCGCATCCCAAGCACAGAGAGAGTTTGGAGAAGACCGCGCGGGAGCAGCTCGGACTTCGGTTGTAATGCGGATGGCTTGTTGTTTGGGTTGTTTGTTTGAAAGACAGAGAAAGGAATTCGGAAGGTTGCTCTGAGAGAGGTAGAATACCAATGCTGCGTATCATTGCATAGATACTAAGGTGGAATATTACGGCTCAACCCTTCTGTCAATGACTGCATCTCATTAACTTTCAATTTCCGAGTCACCGCGGTTCTGCTCCCAATCTGTCGAAGGAAGGCAGTTGCCCCCAGTTATGCAAATAATAGTTATTTTTGTCATGAATACATCGTTCTGTACCAGATACCCTGAAATCTACAACTTTGTTAACAGTATCCCCAAGCCTGACTGCAAGTTCCTCTATGGTACTGCTGGTTTCCGTATGAATTACGAATTGCTGCCCTCCGTGTTCATCCGTGTTGGAATTATTGGTACGTTGCGCAGCAAGTACTTGAAAAAGGTGTGTGTTAGAGTAGCTTGTTATTCTAGGCCATTGGACTGATGGTAACGGCTTCTCACAACCCGGAAGCGGATAACGGTATTAAAATCGTGGATCCTGATGGAGGTATGATGTCTATGGATTGGGAGAAGGTTTGCTGTGTCTTTTCGCTTCTCTTTAGTTCGCCACGGATCTAACGAATGCTGGTACCGACGCTGCGTTTGAGCTGCTCGATGCCTTTATTGCGGAGAAGCAGATCGATCTGGACAGTCCTGCTATCGTGATCTGCGGTCGTGATACGCGTAAGAGCGGAGAGTATCTGTTGGACTTGGCGATCAAGTCCGCCGAGATTATGTGTGCGAACATTGTGAATCTGAACGAGGTGACGACTCCTATTCTGCACCACGTGGTTCGCCAATTCAACGACAAGAAGAGCGAATACAAGGACATCGAGGGCTATTACCGCATGTTGGGCACGGCCTTCGCGGAAACGATCCGCGGCTTCGAGGCCATCGCGCTGACTCGCGATGAGCTCTACGTGGACTGCGCCAACGGCGCGGGTCAGCTGGTGGTGGACCGTCTGCAGCAAGCAGTGAACGGCTACTTAAAGCTGGTGGGCTTCAACACGGCGCGCGAGAATCTGAATCACCTCGCCGGAGCCAACTATCTGTACACGCAGAAGGCCATTCCGTCCGGCTTCACCGCGGAAACGGCCGTGGGGAAGCGGTTCTGCTCGCTGGACGGCGATGCGGACCGTCTTCTGTATTGGCGCGTCAACCCGAGCGATCGGAGTCTGGAGATTATGGACGGCGATAAGGAGATGGCGCTGGCCGCGCTGTGGGTGCGGAAGCAGCTCGACGACCTCGCGTTGGAGGGCGTGTCGATGGGCGTCGTGAAGACTGCGTACGCGAACGGCGCGTCGAACGATTACATGCGCGAGCACGGAATCGAAGTGGTGCTGGCGAAGACGGGCGTGAAGCATCTGCACCCGCTGGCGGAGAAGTTCGACGTGGGCATGTACTTCGAGGCCAATGGCCACGGCACGGTGCTGTTTAAGCCGGCGTTCATTGCGAGACTGCGCGGATTGGACGAGGCGGAGCTGACGGTGAGAGAAAGGAGGGGAACTGACGCGTAGCAGAAGCAGAAGGACGCGCGGCACCGACTGATCTGGGCCTCGGTGCTGGTGAACCAGGCGGTCGGCGACGCGCTGAGCGACGCGCTGTTCCTGGAGGCGGTGATGATCACGATGGACATCTCGATGGAGCAGTTCAGCCAGCTGTACGTGAATCTGCCTTTGTAGGAGACGAGGAATATATTTTGACGGTAGCACGAACCAGGTGTTGAAGGTGGAGGACCGCACGGTGATTAAGTGCAATGAGGACGAGACCCGATGTGTGGAGCCCGTGGAGATTCAGCCTGCGATTGACAAGATCGTGGAAACGATTCCGAAGGGAAGAAGCTTTGTGCGCCCTTCTGGAACGGAGAATGTGGTGCGTGTGTATGCAGAGGCCGAGACGATGGAGCAGGTCGAAAAGCTGTCTCTTGAGGTGAAGCGGATTGTGTACGACTATGCCAAGGGAGTTGGTGAGAGACCGTAAGAAGAAGTTTTCTGGTTAATAATGGTTGTTTGTTTGTTTGTTTGTTTGTTGTATTGAAGAGGTCTTTTTGCTGTGTGGATAGGAGGAGATGTACTGTACAGACGGCAGAATGGGTGGATGTCTAGTTCAATTCAATTCGATTCTGTGAAAATCACTCAAAATGAACAGTATCGCATTACAAATAGTTCTAGCAGCTTGTATAAACTAGATTCTACAATAGTTGCATATTACTTCTGGAATCTGTGTGATTTGGATGTGCAATAAACAACCAAGAAGGAGGGAAAACTGGTGCGCCAATCAAACTTTCCCTCCTTGTTTCACAACAATGAGAGAGTGTCAAGAATGAATCGCGCGCAGAAACTATCGCTAAACGATATCCTTAATTTTGAGGTCCACGGAAAAGGGATTCCGTACTCGCAACAAAGGTAGGAGAATTGATGCTGGTTCACTGTAGGGATTCTGTACGTGATCTGATCATTTACATATCGTAGAATTCATCTACTGCAACGATTCCCCAGTATTGCAGCTATGAGCTCTTTTCCTGCAGCCAACCAACACAAGAAGAAACTGTATCGGCCTACCACAGAGGTATGGATTTGCTATGGTTTTGAAATAGCGGGTTCAAATCCCCTCGAAGTACAAGCTGTGTTGAAGATGCTCGGCAGTACCCTCATTTGAATTTTGGATAGTTTCTAGAGGTCTACGAGATAGTGAAGCAATCCGAGGAGTCAAAGCAAGCACATTCGGAAGACACCCTCCAATCCCTCAAAGCACTTCAGTCACAGCTTCAATCCATGACGGAATCCTTCACACTAGGGATCGAATCCCTCTCTACACAAAGTATCCTCACAAGCCTTTTCCTGAATTGCAGTTCAAACCCTTCAAAAAGAAACAAAAAACGTATTGTCGATTGTTCGCAGAGATGAAACCAACCAGAAGAAGCTTCCCTCGTCTATGCGACGCGTGGTGCGAGAAGAGAACGAGAAATTGGAAGAGCGGATAATCGATGCCATCAATTCGATCGAACTCAAGAAGGAAAATGATGTACCTTGCTTGCCTTCGCTTTCGACGGTTCCGCACATGCAGAGGAGAAAGCGAAGCAGAGCCACTGGTTTGGAGAGCGGAACGGAGAAGATCGCACACATGGATAAACCTGGTTTGGAATTGTTTCAAAATGTTGTTCGAGAACAAAAGGATAAGGCCGATTTGTTCGTAATAGACGATTTCTTTTGGACTGTTTGTTGCGAAGAGAGATGGAGGGAAAACCAGCTACAGGCAAAATGGAGTTTATTGACAGCACAGAGGATAGGGAATTGATCCAGACGTTTTTTGATGCCACTCCTGAAGATGTTCTGAAGCTGATCGAGCAAACTGTGCTGTCGTTGTTAAAGCAGATTTCACAGCAAGAAGAGCCGTCCCTGTCCGTGGTAGCTCGATCGAACAAGAACGCAGTGTTTTGCAAACGTGAGCAACAGTTGAGACTGCGTCTGGGAACAGTGAAAAGACGCTTATCGGATGGCAAGCGATTTCAAGGATTAGTGAAAATTCTGCAAATATGCTATGCATTGGGGAGAGAGAAAAAGACGGTCAACCAAAGAGAACTTTATTACATGAATACAGATGTCTCGATTCCGTGTTTATCTCATTCTGCAGATCTTTTCCGCACAGCGAGAGTGCGATGACTCGATTCAGGACTGCATCGCTCTGCTGCGCGTTCCTCGCGATGCTTTAGGGATCTCAGCCACTTCCAAAGGATATGTGACAGGAAGGTTGAAGCTAGGGTCGTCTTTGAAGAGTAGATTGTTTTACTATCCAAAAGAGGAAGGAGTGTGGTACGATATGACCATGGAGAAGCCGCACAGCATCACCTACGACATGATCAACTCCCTGGAAGTGAAATCAGACGCGCAGTTCATTCTAGTCGTAGAGAAGGTAGAGTTGAGGTCAATCGCACATCCATAGGACGGTATTTTCAAGCGATTATACGAAGATCGAGTATGTTTTATGCTTGTTTTTTTGTAACTTTTCTCACACGCAGTTCTTCGATATTCTTCCCTGTGTGATAATCACAGGCCGAGGCTTTCCAGACATTGCCACACGCGCGTTCACGCACTTCCTCGCTGTTTTCTTCTCTCGTTTGTTTGATATAGACACAACTCCAACTCCCAATCTTCGGAATCTGCGATTGGAATCCGTTCGGCGCTGCGTTACTGATGACTTACATTCTTGGATCATTGAATTCAGGATTGGAAGTAGACGAAAAAGCAACATTGAAGACTAGTCTTATCGTTACTGTGTGTCGATGCAATGGGTTGGATTGCATGCTGCAGACATCGAAAGCTTGCAGATCCCGGAAGTGTCAAAGCAGCCATTCAGCAAACTGGATGAAGCGAAGGTGAAAAGCTTGATAGAGTGAGCGAAAGGCAGGGGAGTGAGATTCAGACATCCGTTTGTGAAGGGGAATGAAGTGTTTCGATCGGAGCTGCGAGGGATGGAAGAGAAGCAAGTGAAAGTAGAGTTGGAAAGCGTGTATTGCCACGGGATCGAGTACTTCAGCAGTACCTATTTGAGAGACAAAATCGCAGAGTTGATTTGAGGAAGAGGTTGTGGAAGTTGGAATAAAAACAAGTCTTGAAGAAAAGGTGAAAGCAATGAGATTCTCATTCATTGATTCCACGCGTTGTTTGTTCAACAAACCATTTGCTATCCATCCGATTCACATCAAATCCCTTCCTTTCCTCCTTAATCCAGCAGTGCCTCGTCCAGATTCCCCACATCATACTTCTTTCCATTGTGCACCGAATCCGCCATCTCCCACACCTGCAAGATGTTATCGTCCGCCACCGACGCCAGCGCCCAGTCCCTCTACTCCTCACTCTCCTCCTTCTCTCCCACGTTCGGATTCCACGCCAAATCGTTCACCTTCGACGTGTGTCCTCCATGGATGAACAAGAGCTCCGCCGGTCCGTCCTCCGCCTCCTCCGCCGTCTGCTCCTCTCCGATCTTCTCTCATCGCCTCGCCCATCGCCTACCCGCTCCAGATCCCACACGATCACACGCCGATCCAGCCCCGCCGTCGCCAGCACGTTTCCTCGCATCGGCGACCACTCGCCTGCGAACACCGCTCCCGTATGTCCCTCCAGCACATGATACGGGAACCTCAAGTTCCGCTCATCCCACAGTTTCACCGACGTGTCCGAACTCGCTGTCACGAATAACCGCGGGAAATGCGGGTTAAACCGCACCACATTGCAATCCTTCGCATGGACCGGCGTTCTACCCATCAATCGGGGAAACCGTGGAAACAGGGAAGCGGGATCCGCTTGTCTCAGATCGTAGAAACCGAGAAACCCGTCGTCTCCGACCGCGGCGAGCACGTGACTCTGCACCGGATGCCAATTGACATCCTAGATCGCAGATTCCCGCGGAACTCACCTCGACGACGCAGGAGCGCGCGTAGGAGCGAAGCGGAGCGGTAGAACCGCGGATATCCCAGCAGCAAATCTTGCAGTCATCGGATCCACTGGCCAAATAGCCGTTTTGAAGGCGAGACCAGTCGAGACCGTAGCCTTCGGCCTCGTGGCCGGTGAGTTCGAGGGTTTTGTGGATGGATTCGGAGGGAGGAAGCGCGGGGAAGGTCTGGGTGTCGAAGATGTTGACGATGCCGGATGATGTTTTGGTGGCGACGATGGCTGGGTTCTGGGGCATAAAACGCATTCTAGATTGGAAAATAGGCGAAAAGGCACTTGTTCACATCACCATCATGATAGATGCGCTGTTCGATTTTTAATTTTCCAGAGATTCCGTCAGAAGGGAACTCTGCTCATTAGACACCGAACCAATCAGAACCAATCTCATCCCCTTCTTTGAGAGTAATATCGTTTTGCAGTTGAATAGAAACCTTCAAAATGGAGTTTGGAAAATTATCTGAAGTGTGGGTAGCGAGATACAGATGATGGAGAGAATACCCTTCATCTTTGAATCTAGAGATGACAAATTGAATTCAAAACATACTCTTCGCATTCCGGAAGCCATTCTACCGTGAGAGACGGCCATTCAAGTGAATGGATCATAACCAAATCATATCTATGCAACAATAGCGAGGAAACACACAGTACAATAAGTGAACATTGTTTTTCCAGATATTATACTCCTCGCGAATTTGCTGCTCTTCGTGTGCGTTCTCCATGCTAAACAAACACTCTCAACACTCTCAAGAGTCGAATAAAAAGGAACAAAAAAAGAGCAAGAAAATGAGTTGCAACAAACAAGTGAATTCGCTTGGCTAATTTCTGTAATGATAGAAGCAAAAGAGAGCGAATCTACGAGTCGATTCAATCAACACGACATCAATACTTTCTGAAGTAGTAACACACGCATTATTGAAAGAGTCAACGAATTTGACTTGCTCCACATTGGGTACGTCTACCTCCTCAGCAACAAGCAATGAAAGACTCACAATCGATTTCAACAGTTTTGTGAAATGAAAAGTTGTTCCATCCGTGGGAGATGAGTTGTTTCAGTTTGGGGAGATCTTAGCGAGAATCACACAAAAGAGAGAGCAAGTGTACTTCGAAAAACAACCTTCGTTTGGTTCGAGTGTTTTCGGTAAAAACTTAGGCTTCCCGAGCAGGTGGAGATCCCAAAATCAATGGAAAGCAGCGATGGGAGATCTGCGAGTCAAGGGGAGAAGAGGCGATCGTCTACTTTGAAATACAATTTGCGAGGCGAGACTAAAAGAACCATCTCCCAACGTGATCGATTGGAGAGAAGGAAGATCTAGTAGGTTCATCGCCGAGCGAATGAATGAGTACCTATCAATTCGAGAGTGTTACAAAAAAAGAAATTATTCGATTCATAATTGACACTGCCTATCGTTAAAGTTTGCAGACAGGGAGTATCTGTGTATCAGTGAAACGCCACACACGCACCATGCAAAATAAACTTCGAACAGCCAAGGAATGAATAGGCTCCAATCGTGAGTTCCTCGAGTTGAGGACATGAGGAGACTTCAAAAGAGCCATTCACGCATGGCACGGATTGCATGCTGTTCCATACACTTCGGCCTAGAAATGAATTGTTCCCGATGATGAGCGTTTTGAGGGAAGGCAGCGAAAAAAAACAATCGGTGACCATTTCGAAACTGTTGTCTCCAATCACGAGTTTCTCCAGATTGTTCATCAGTGTGAGGTGAAGTCTCTGCATTGCCTCGCAAACGCTGTCTTCGATCGTTAGTTCGTGTAGAGTGGAAGATAGTCCATCGACTGAAGCCGCTCTCTTTTCGATCTTCAGCGAGATGACGGGATGCATGTCATCGACCCACTCACCATTATAGACGACCGTAGAAAATCGGTCATGCAACGTTCCATAGCCAAATCGCTTTCCTTTATAGAACATGCCTTGATACTCCAATAATCCGTTATCCTGGAAATAGGTTGCTCCATAGCAGGAATACTGGCCATTGAATAAAAAGCCGCAAAACACACGAAGCCCCTCAGTGTTGTACAACTCTCCGAATCCAAAAGGTTGGCCATGTAGAAGGGATCCCTCCCAACGGGTTCCCCTATCATCTAAATCGAGGACTGCATAATCCAAATGCTCATAGGAGTACTCCAGCGGGATCTGTTCTCCTAGGCGGAAATTGTGCACGCCCACAATCGAACAGGAATCTAGATTCACAATGTACGCAACCCCATCCACGAGTCCCTGCATTAATTGAAACTGAGCCACAATCTGCGGATTTTCGGATAGTATGCATGTGCACTCGTAGCGTCCCTCTTTGATTATGAATGTTATATGGACAAAATCTTTCCGAATCAACATGTCGACATACTCGTTATTTTGATCCGCCTGCATCACAAACAGTACTGTTAATTAGACAGAAAATTGAAGAGAGTAGGCTTCGCTGATAAAACAGGATAACCTGAATTAAAGTGATTATGCTGAGGGTTCCCTCAATCTCTCTAGGAGTAGCTCCCATATACTCGCCACCCTCCAGTCATTCAAAAACAGAAGAGTGAGAAGATAACGTAAATAACGGTTATTTCGTCAATACTTCGTATCCTAAAAGGTAGAAACAGAGAAAACAAATTATCTGTTTATTAACCCTCCATTTTATTTTTTGGTTTTGTTAGATGCAAGTTAAAGAGTAAGGTTTCTGTAAAGTGTGCGAATATAGAATCAAGAGTATTTGCTGTGTTGGTGCTGGTTACGTGGGTGGACCAACAATGGCCATCATTGCTTTGAAGTGTCCTCAAATCAAAGTGACCGTAGTTGATTTAAACGCCGATCGCATTGCGGCGTGGAACAGTGATAACCTGCCCATTTTCGAGCCTGGTCTGCATGAAGTTGTAATGCAGACCCGTGGTAAAAACCTCTTCTTCACCACTGATGTGGAGAAGGGAATTGAAGAGTCTGACATGATCTTCCTTTCTGTAAATGTGAGTGTGTTTGTTGTCGGGTTACCTTCAGACTCCCACAAAGACGTTCGGTATCGGTGCTGGAAGCGCGGCGAACCTGCGCTATCTGGAATTGGCCGCTCGTACAATTGCGAAGGCATCCAAGAGTGACAAGATCATCGTCGAGAAATCTACCGTGCCTGTCCGCACTGCTGCGACCCTCCGTCGCATTTTTGCGGAGAACAACAAGGAGCACACTCTTGAAGTGGTGAACAATCCCGAGTTCCTGGCCGAGGGAACCGCCATCAACGACCTTCTTTCTCCTAGTCGAGTTTTAATCGGTGGCGAGACCACTCCGTCCGGCGAATCGGCGGTTCAGTCTCTGGTGAACGTGTACGCGCAGTGGGTGCCGCGCGAGCGCATCATCACCATGAACACTTGGTCTTCGGAGCTCGCCAAGCTCACGGCCAACTCGTTCCTCGCCCAGCGCATCTCCTCCATCAACGCCATCTCTGCTGTGTGCGAGAAGGTGGGCGCGGACGTCCGCGAAGTGTCCCGCGCCATCGGAGCGGACCCGCGTCTGGGCAGCCGCTTCCTGCAGGCGTCGGTGGGCTTCGGCGGCTCGTGCTTCCAGAAGGACGTGCTGGACCTGGTGTACCTGTCGGAGAGCTATGGATTGACGGAGGTGGCTGCGTACTGGAAGCAGGTGGTGATCATGAACGACTACCAGAAGCAGCGCTTTGCACGCCGTGTGATCCACGACATGTTTGATACGGTGGCGGGAAAGCACATCGCCATGCTGGGCTTCGCCTTTAAGAAGAACACGGGCGATACCCGCGAGACCGCGGCCGCCTATGTGAGCAAGTATCTGCTGGACGAAATGGCCCATATCGTTGTGTACGACCCGAAAACGTCGGAGACTTCGATGTACATGGAGATGGACTATTCGTGCGGAGTGAACGAGGATACCGTGCCGCAGCTGAAGAAGGACCTGGTCATGGTGAAGGATCCGTACGAAGCCGTGAAGGGCGCCCATGCGATTTTGGTGATGACCGAATGGGACATGTTCAAGGATCTGGACTATGAGCGTATTTATGAGAGCATGGCCAAGCCGGCTTTCGTTTTTGATGGTAGAAACATTCTGGATCACAAGAAACTGCAGGGCATTGGCTTCCAGGTCTACGCAATTGGCCAGAATCTGTAGGTGAACCAGTTCATTAAGTGAGAGATGGGTTGTTTGTTTGAGACATGGAGTGGAGTAGAGGGGAGTGGAGTGGAATGGAATGAAAAGAGAGGAGTTAGACTTGTTTGTTTTCGGAAGAGAAACAATTGTTTGAAGAGAGGACGGAATTCGTGCCGATTTGTGGAATTCCGTTTGAACAGACTATTGTTTGTTTTTGGGTATCGCATTCGGATTTACCAGCGAGGATGAGTTCACCCGAGAGCGAAAGCCCCAGCGAGGAAAGCTATGGACCTGTGAAAAACCTCTCTGACCTGAAAGATCCGTTGATTCGACAAATCCGTGTACGACGATTCCCTTCCGTCTCCTACGCCTAGGAACTAAATAAAAAATTGCTGCAATCGGAGCAAGAGAAGGAGAAGATGAAAACCGAGCTGGACTCGATTCGGACTCTCTTCTGTCAAGAAATGCGAATTAAAGATGGCGGCAAAGTCGATTCCCTCGCTCTCTCTCATCTAGATGGGTCTATCCGAGATGAAAGCTCGCTTTCGCGGCTATCGACGACGTATGGAGGAGACGGAGGAGGCCCGAGTCGTTGAGCACAACCGGAATGTTTCCGAGCTGTTTACCAGTACATCGCGGGTTCGTGCGTTCTCCGCTCTAGCCGTGCTCCAAAACATGCGACTCTACGAAAAACGCGTCAACGACACCGTTGCTGCCATCGTAAGCCGAGCTCGGTACGCGCTTGATCATCCCTCTCTTCTCTATAGATCCGAATCCGTTCTCTCCGAAGAAACAGTATTCCCTTCCCCGTTTCCACGTTCCTCGTAGTTTTCACACATCGAATCCAAGCTCGACGAGCTCATCCAGCATCGCTCCGCCTCCCTTCAGCGAAACGCCCAGGCTCTCTCGCGCGAAGTAGGTTTCCCGCCCTTTTTCTTCGCGTTCCTCACACGCAGCAGCAGCTTCGTCTCGACGAGCTCTCCGCGGAGAACGCGCAGCTGCGCGACCGCCTGGCCATTCTGGAGAGCGTCCAAACCGCCCTCATCCAAGGCCGCGCGTCTTCGTCTTCGTCTTCGTCATCGACCTTGTCATCGACCTTGTCATCGACCTTGTCATCGACCTTGTCATCTTCGTCATCTTCGTCTCTCCCTTCTGTCGACGTCTGCTCGCTCCGCGAGGAGCTCGCACAGCGCTCTGCGCAGATCCAGCAGCTCTCGGCAAAGCTCGCCGCCATGGACGTACACTCGGCAATTCCCGGTGAAACCCAGGCAGAACTCGCGGAGAGCGAACGCGTGCGCGAGCAGCAGCACCAGCAGCTCCTTCTCCTCGGCACTTCCCGAAATGGAGAAACTGGAGAAACTGGAGAAACCGTGGAAACGGAGGAGGTGGAGAGGCTGCGTGTGGGAGAAGCGGAGGGGAGTGAGGCGTAGTTGGAGGTGGCGCGGTACCGCGGGGATCAGAAGGAAGCGGCGATGGGTAGGCGAGGAGGAAGAGAATGAGCGCAGAGATCGCGGCGTTGAAGAACAAGAACCAGGCGAGCCAGAGCCGAGTGCACGATCTGTAGGTGAGGGAAGGGAGGCTTACGGCAGAGAGGAGGAGCTGGAGGTGCTGCAGAAGCGGTTTGAGCAGAGTCAGAAGGAGTGGACCGAGCTACATGCACAAGTGGGGTTCGAGGAAGGCGGTCAGGGACAGTGCCAGGAGAACGAGAAGGTCGCGACCACGGTGGTGTCGCTGCTGCGAGAGAGCGTACCCGCGGGGATGGGCGTGAATTGGAGGACGAGAACCACAAGAAGGAGCTGGAGAAAGTCGTGGAGACGTGCCGAGCCGAGATGAATGAGGAGTCGCTCCGCGATGTGCTGCAGGAAACGAACTTTTACTCGCGACAGAAGGAGTATAACGTGATGGCCATCGCCTACCAGAAGATGGAGGAGTTTTTAATGAACCGCATTCGGCAGCTTACAAATATGGTGAATCGCAACAATACGCTCGTCACGGAGAGTTTGCAGGCCAACGAAGCGATGTCCATTCCGGATGGAATGGTAACGATGGTGACGAAAGCGCAGCTGATGGAGATGAAGAAGACGCTGCCGGTGGTGAATATGAATTATTTGAAGGAAGTCGTGGTGAAGTCAGTTTGAGGGAAATGTTTGACCGGCAGATTTATCAGTTTCCCGCGGGGGTCGAGTGAACGAACGTTTTTGTATCCTGTGTTAAAAACGCTGCTGTCGCTCGGAGAACGCGAAATGCGTGTAGGTTTCTATTTTGGAGCGAGGGAGCGCGTAATCGAGTAGATTCTGCGAGGTGATGTATCCTATAAACCACCATCCCGAATTCCCATCGATCGTCCTCTTGTGAAGGACAACCGATATATCGACTCCTCGTCGCTGTTAGATCTATTTAAACGCTCCTCCTCTGTTTGTGAAACAAACATGAAAACATGATGCTGCGCTCTAGCATGCGAACACGTGCAAATCATTTCAACTATTCAAGCAAGTTTGATTCACGCCACTCGATGCTTACGATCGATGATGGCCTCTAAAAACCGCAGCGTTGCGCGATCGCATGGCTTCAAACGGCTCGACTTCAAATTCTGCCGGCGGATTCACAGGGCGGCCCATCGGCTTCATCAATGGCGGATTCATCGCATACTCGGCCGGATAGCTCACCGGGTGGCTCACCGCGTGGCCCACCGCGTGGCCCACCGCGGCGTCGACGGCGCATCGCGCGGGCGGGTTCAGCGCGGAGACCTTGGAGGGGTTCATCGACGGGTTGATGCCGGGCGCCGCGAAGCCGGTCGCCGAATTCGCGAGATTCGAAGCAGCAGCAGCAGCAACAGCAGCAGAAACAGAAACAGAAGCGGCGGCAGCAGAAGCGGCGGCGGCGGCGGCAGACACGGCGATGGGAGCGGAGTTATAGTAACTCGCAGCGCTCCCCACCGAGCCGCCCACGTGCAGCCCCGGATTCCCCGGTTTCCCCGGTTTCCCCATCGAATTCGGCATCGAACCCATCGAATTCGGAAAGTGGGCGGGAAAAGACGCGGCGTTCGGCAGCGAATTCGGCGGGTTCGGCGGCGGCGCGGCATTGCCCACCGCGCTCGGCAAAACCGCGGGAAACGGCGGTGCGTGGTTGACAGAATTCGGCACGATTTTCGCGACACTCCCCGCAAAATTCGGGCCGATTTTCGCCATGCTAGGGGTCCCCGCGGGACCGGGCTCTGCGGTCTCGATCCCCGCGGTTTCGATGTCGGCGTCGCCGCCCTCGGAGAGGGACTCGGAATCCCCGCGGGAGCTCTTCTGGACGACGGCGAGTGCGCCTTGGAACCTACACAACAGCGCGCGTTCCCGCGGTTACTGCGTATTTTCGGGGAAGGAGTGAACGAAGCGGCAGTGTTTGCGCTGGCAATTCCCGCGGAGAAAGTCGCGGCAGACCTGCACGTTGTTCTGCAGGATGGCGTCGCTGCTGCCCTCCGCCACCGTCAGTTCCCCGCTCGCCTGCCGCTCCACCACGTGCAGGAACCGGCACCGTTCCCCGCGGGTACAGTGCCCGCTGCGATAATCGCGGCACGCGTACGGCAGTTTCCGCACCGACGGCTCCGCCTCCCCCGCGGGGGACGCGCCGAACGAAGCCTCGAACGGCCGCGGGAGCGAGTTGTGGGAGTTCCCGCGGGAGTGGACGCTGGGAGGGTAGCGGGTCCCGCGGGGCTCGGGGAAGGGCGTCCCGCGGGGGAAGGCGGCGCCGCGGTATTGCGCGGGACGGACGTACTGGGGGAGAAAATCGTAGTCGGAGACGAGAGGAGGGTCGCTGGAGAGCGGGCGCGAGGGGCGGTCGGCGGAGTAGGCGGGGTAGCGAGGGTTGATGGGCTCGTGCTGCGAGTAGAAGCCCTCGGAGGGGCTGGAGACAAAAGAACTGGACAGATGATGTCCGCGAAGGTGGGCGGGATAGTCACAATTCAGTACCGGCACTTTGGGATAGTGCGCCTCTTCGTATGCGGCAGGGTAGTTGAGATAGTACATGTCCTTGGGGGGGATGCGGTCGTTAAGAGAATTCTCATGATATCGGGAAGAAAAGTCCTCGTGAACCCGATCATGTTCCAAAACCAAGGAGCGGTGAGATTGATGGGCATACCACTCGGGAACGACATTACCTTCTAAATCGATGTTTTCAGATACAGCATAGCAATAGTTATCAACTCCCAAGTCTTCCCGAGAGGGCGAAAAACTAGAGAACTGATTAGGACCACTGTCTGTAAAATAACTCCACACAATGAGTACTACAGTCAGAAATAGCCTTACGGTGATGGTTCATCAAGAAGAGTAAATTACAAAAGCTTTGCAAAAATAAATGTCAAGGGACAAACCGGTGTGTGAAAAACGCTCAACAAGAAAAAGATCGGTCAAGAACCTAGTTTGCCCAGTATTTTTATATAGTTAATGAGCATTTCCGCGGGAATACGGTAACATGTTGAAACAAACATTCCACGAAATTAAAACCCCATAAGGTCGTCCAACTCCTGCAACACCTGCGAGGTTGTTTCACTCGATGTTTGAAAAGTGTCAGGTTCCGTAATATCATTTTCGACACTGTTGGGTAATGGTAAATTTAAATTTGCTGTAGGTATTATCGACGGTTTGTCTACGGCATCGTAACAGGACAAATCAGAAAGTCCCATTTCTGAATACGAGAATTTTGTAAGGAGATGTGCCACATTCAGATTCTCCTATATTTTCACGAAAATTCCAAAGTCGCTACACTCACTGACTTCTTTTCATCTGTATTAATTCCAATTTCCGTGAGGAAATCGGAGAATTCATTATCACGAATATATAACTTGGGTTCTTCAAGAATGTTCATCCCTTCCAGATATTCTTCCTGGTCACTCTCACTTGGCTCTACCTGCTCAGCAACATCAACTTCCGGCAAAAATGTTCTTTCCTGCTGTTTTTCTTTGTGAGCAGCGCTAATTTGTTTCCGAGAATTCTCCGATAATGTGCCCTTGTGCTTAGCACGATAGGCGAGTCTTGATCTTCCCATAAAAAGAATAGTGGAACAATGAAGAAACTGTTTGAAGCAATTTCGCGGTGGTATGCTCGAGCTAATAAGGCTACGTAGGATAAAGCTAGGAAATCACGTAATGATGCAGGTTGAACGTTTGGATCTTTGCTGGTGCCATTGTTGGTATGTACACCATGTACGAAGCAAGCCAAGGACTCCTTCATAGAAAGGTGAAAGATCGTTGGAGTGTAAGTCATTGTTGGTGCTAGCAAGTGTAGGCTGTCGAGTATGAGAGGGAACATCCAGATGAAGCAGATGATGATTGGTTAGACGATGATGATGATGATGACGACATGAAGCATTAACTCACTTTTATACATGATTTTGTGGAATTGCTTTATTCTTTGTTGCTATTCAATCTTCGGATCTTGTGTAGAAGGTGTATCTAGAGGGAAAAGAGAAAGGAATATTGAAATAAGATGTTGTTATGATACACTATTGGTCTACTGTAGAATGAACAAAAATGGTTGGTTCGCTGGGATAAAACACAACACCCGAACAAAAAATTAGATTACTATTCGATAGATTACAGTGTAATACAACAAATGAAAAATCGATTATCCAGCTAATTCTACGAAAAACGTAGAATTGATCCTGGCTCCAAAGAATGTGTTGTTTTATGCCTTTTCAGTCAATTAAATGCATATCATAGCATGCCAACAGGATATCAGTTGAGACCATAGCTGAAAAGAAAATGATTGTGTTAGAATAACCGCGGAAATCTCCAACATGAGCATAGAAATAGTTTTATAATGGAATCTACTCAGGAGGTAAAGAAACCTCCAGCAATGCAACGATTCCAGGAATACCTGGGAAGGACGTTATCCTTCAACAAAATTGTCTGGCTGTTTTTTTATGTAAATATGCTTAACTATATTGAAAGATTTATTATTTCCGGAAGCGCTGTTGAGATAGAAGAGTTTGTTGAGCAATCTGTCCATGGTTCAAAGGATACTTTTCTGGGATTGTTGCAGAGTGCGTTCATCTTGGGTTTTTCGATCGCCTGCATCATTTTTGGATATGTTGTAAAGAGCGATTCACCATTTTCAATTGTTTGCATTGGTTTGTTGGTCTGGACGGTAGCATCGCTCGCTAGCGGTCTTGCTTTCAACTACTGGATGCTTCTGTTTGCACGACTGTTTAGTGGAGTGGGAGAAGCTGCTTTTCAGATTGTCGTTCCCACATTTATCGACGATTTCTCACCAAAAGACCATGTGGGAACGTCGATGTCGCGCCTGTATATGGCCATTCCAGTGGGAACGGCAGTGGGCTACGGTCTTTCTGGCTTTGTGGCCGAGTATTTTTCCTGGAGAATCATGTTTCTCGTTTCTGCTCCTCTCATGATTCCGTTCATTGTGGTGTTACACTATTATCCAATCAGCGTGTTGAGGGATGCGAAGATCTTGAACAATGACTTTGGAGCGGAGGAGCCGAGCGCTCTTTCCAATCCGCAGAATGATTGTTCTCCCTCGAAGGAATCCACTGCCGAGGCGAATCAAAAGCCTTTGGATGAAAGCGAAAACGCTAAACTGTTCGAGAACCAATCGCCGATGCCTGGCAAAGCGGAGGTGCGCGTGGATCCCGAATCCATGAACCCCATCGAAAACGAAAAAGCGAACGAAACCACCGATCTCACCCTTGAACAAAGCGAAACCTTCATAAACGATCTCATTTGCATGATTCGCACCCCCACATTCATTCTGGCCGTCCTGGGCGAGGCCATTGCCGTCTTCATTTCCACCGGCTTCACCTCCTTTGGCAATATTTTCCTTGTCAATCTCCACATGTTTGAGTCGGAAAGCATCAGCTCCGTGATGATTGGCTTTGTGGGATGTATGGCTGGCATCGTCGGCGCGTCGCTTGGAGGCATCACACTGAATTGGGTGATGAAACTCCGCGATTCATACACAGATCTCTTCAACTATTACTCTCATTTAACACTGTACTATTCGAAATAGGGTCACTGAGTCGCTAGTTTTTCTTTGGTCGCAGTGACGTTCTGCTATCTCTGCATGTTCAGTCTTTCTTCGCGCGTTCTCTTCCTCGTTTTCTTCTTCTTCGGCTGCGTTGCGATTTTCGCTGCGAATCCTTCGTGGACTTTAGTGATTCTGAGCACAGCTCCGCAGTCGATCCGATCCCTGGCGATCGGCATCGCTACGATTTTTTACCACATGCTGGGCGATGTTCCGGCGCCGATTATCATCGGGAAAATGATCGATGTGTTCATAGCTCGCGTGGAAACGGAGCGCCAAATCATTGTGTATCGCGGTGTTCTTCAAGGACTGATGTCTCTCTCGATTTTGCTTGTTGGATTGGGTTTGGATTGTGAGGAATAGCTCATTTTTTGGTCGTGGGGATTCGCTCTGGTGTACCGAGCAGAGAAAGCAAGGCCAAAGCCCGCGTCGAATATTCGCGCTGAACGCGCTTCGGTTCTCGAGGATGACGCGATTCTTGTTGCTATGACTGATGCAACGACCCAATTCACTCTAAAAGAGGTTGAACCAGAGCCAGAACCAAAACCAGAGCCAAGCCCAGAGCTAGAGCTAGAACCAGAACCAAAACCTTCATTATTAGTTTGGACGTGTTTGTTTGACAAAACGTGTACTTCGATTGTCATTTGACTGCTCGGTTTCTGGTTTTTGGATAAATTGGAACGGATTCTGTCTGTTCATACGATCGATTCGGGTAGATTCTTAGCAGGAAATCCATACAGACTAGTTGATACCACTTCCTGTATTATCGTCACGTTTTCTTTCATTGTTTCTCACCCTTCCATCAACTCGATTCACTCATTTCACAAACTTTTGATCCCTCTTTCCTCAACCAAACACACACACACAATACATTCATAACCCTCTCATTCCCTTCTTTTCCACTCCATGATTCCTCAAACAAACACACCTTCTATATATCAATGACTATCCCATTCCTCGTCTTCTCGCTTTCTCCTCCGCGTTCCCTTCGTCCGCTTCACCTTCACTCGCTTCCCCTCCATTCCATCTTCGCTCTCCTCTTCGCACAGCGCCTCAAACTCCGAGTTCCCCGTCGACGACCCCTCGCTTCTTCCCCGTTTCCCCTCTTCTACGCGCTCCGCCATCGCCGCCACCGGCTGCTGCGCCAGCAAAAAATCGCGGGAAATCCGCGCGAACTCCTCCATCCCGGGCATCTCCTCCCCGGAAATCCTGAGCTCCGCGGCATTTCCGACGAGCCAGAAGCGCACAGAGCCATCGACGGTCTCCACGCGATAGACGGACTGGCGACCGGTTTGGAGAAGGGCGATGCAGTGGTTTCGGTAACCGGCCTCGCTGGAACCGGTCCGTTCGAGATGGAGCGCGTAGCTGGCGAGCAGCTCGTTGGTGGTGAGGTCTACGAACATGGAATGCAGGTGTTTGATGCAGGTGGACACGACCTTGTCGAGCGTGTAGAGAACGTACCCGCCCGTGCCGATTTGCCGCCGGCAGGACTCTTCGAAGTGCACCGAATCCTGGTCATTCCGCAGAAACGAAAGACACGAGTTCACCACCTCGTTCACCTGCTCCCACGCCGTCGGCTCCGCCGCGCGCGCGCTCTCCGACCCGTCCAGATGCGCCTGCCGCTTCGCTACGCTCGAGGAAGGATGAAACGCCCACTGGGAGCGGGGATGTGGAATTCATCGCGATGCTGCGAGGCCTCCAGAATGATCTCCACGACTTCTTGGAACCGCGAGTATACCACCTAGATCGGAGAAACGTGGAAACTCGACTTGGTAGAACCGGTAAAACGCGTAGAGCGAGGAATTACCGAAAATCACATCCCGCCGATTTGGCATTTTTTCCGCGGTAAGCGACGAAATCCGCGCCAAGACCGAGTCGAAATGCTGCTTATCCTGCGCGAACAGCGAGTTCTCCTACGATCAAAACCCGATCACGCCCCCACCAGCTCGCAGTCGCTCACGAAACTCTCCGAAAAACCGAAAAACCGACTCACGCAGTAGAACAGAAACGTCCGCAGCCGTTTCTACCGTCAATTCCCCGCGGGAACCCCACCATGTCGGAGTACGGCAGTTGCTTCTTCCCCGCGGCCAGCAAAAACCGCAGGACCACGCGATGAATCAGCGGAATGCTCAGCGCGAACTGCAGATGCGGCGGGCTTTGCTGGTCGCTTCCCTCGCGTTTCGCCTGCTCCGCGCGCGCCAGCGTGAAACTCCCCAGCCGTCGACTTGCCTCGTTCTACGTTTCCACGTTTCCCCGTTTCTACCTTGATGGCGTCGATGAAGGGCTTGATATTGGTGTTCTTTTTGTCCTGCGCCTTGAACGTGAAGCTCCGCGTGTCCAGCGAGCGATGATAGTTTTCCTCCTGGATCGCGCGCCACTGCTACGCCTCACGGCTTCTCCGTTTCCCCACGGCCTCCAGCACGTTCCTCTCCTTCACCCAGCGCTCCTCTTGCTCGCGTAGTCTCCGCAGAACGCGCGGGAGCGTGGTTCGCGGCGCGTTCTCCAGCATCTCCAGCACCACGCCGTCGACTCCGCTCTCCGCGTACAGCCGCCGAATCGCGCGCCGGTCCAGCGCCGACAGCCGGCCCACCTCCAGTCGCTGCGGCCCGGGGCCCTCCGCGTCCAGAGCGCGCGCCAGCGCCTCGAGAGAGCCGGTGCAGTGGCGATTGGACTCGATGAGCACGTCGGTCTCGAAGTGATCGTCCTCCACGCGGAACAGCGCCTCCGCATGCAGGTTCCGATGAGCGTACTACGCGGTACCCCGTTTCCACGAACCGACGCCCGCCGCGAAGTTCTCCGAGCCGATCGGACAGGAGATCCACGCGTCGTTCAGCAGACTGCCCTCCAAGAAACTCCGCTGCGAGCCCCCGCGGTGCAGGTACGAGCTCGGCAGCAGATGGTACGACGGCGTGCATTTCGGAAGCTTCTTCACCTGCTCCGGCAGCAGCGCCGGCGGACGCGTCGTTATCTACCATTCCAGAAATCGCGGCGATTTTACCAGGTCGCGCGGAACGCCGCAGCGCAGCAGCATCGACGAGATCTGCTGCAGAATCTGCGGAGTATGACGAAACAACGACTCGCACAGCGCCACGAACTCCGCTAATGAGATCACCTTCTGCGATTCAAAAATGTGGGATAGCGCAACGTCCGCAAACAGCGCGCAGATTCGCAGAAAGTGCTCGAAACGGATCAGTCCCGCGGAACTGCGCAGCAACGCGAAGTCCGCCACGTCCTGGTCGCTCCCCGCGGGAATCTCCGACTTGGCGGGAGGAAGAACCGCGGGGAGCGGCTTGTCCGGGGGTTTCGCGGGGGCGGGGAAGGAGGGCGGGTTCACCGCGGGGAATTTGGGGTAGGGGGAATAGAGCGAGGCGGCAGGCGCAGAAACGACGGGATTTCCCGCGGGGATCGACGCGATGGGTGGATTGGTGGAAACAGTGGAAACCGTGGAAACCGTAGAAGGCTGGGAGTGGGGATTGGGGGGGAGGAAGGTGTGGAAGTCATTGACAAGATCGGGATGACCATGGAAGAGCTTGCGAATCTGGAAGTAAGGGAGGAGAAGGAGGGAGAGAATACCCGCTCTTCCACGCTAGAAATACTGAAGTCGCTGTTCGCGTGGCTCCGAAGAATGGAGATAAATTCATTATACTCTTTATCACCGCTATCTTTAAAACGCTCCTGAATTCGGGAGACATATTGTCGAATATGTCTAGATCACATGTCCGCTTCCCAAACATACGAAATGTAGTTTGCATCCGCTCCAAAGGGATAAGAGTAATCCACTTTGGGACAGTACTGGTCAGGGACAAAGCGATAGAATTGGGAAAGCAACTCGCTGTTTCCTGACAGCAACTGAGTCACACTATTGACAACCATCTCAATGCTGATTCTAATTGCTTACACCGTAAACAAAACACCATACTTATTATGGCCGTAATCACAGATGAGTCTGAGGAAATTGCTGACCACGTCGGACGATGCCCCAAACTGCTTCTTCATCTAGTGCTGAACATTCCTCTTCAACCCCAAACCTCTTCGATGAATTGATAGCCAACATTCATATTTTCCTGAGCAGACTGTGTTCCCACAATGCCCTGCTCCATTCAAATGCAACTATGTGTTTTTATCAAAAGAAACGTTCGGTAATTTGCTAATACAAGTTTTTGAAACTGCTTGCCGCGGGAAACAGTCCACTCATCCTTCTTCTTCTTCATCTCGATCCACCTTTTCATAGCATTTTCCATGTAGATGTGAGATAAAACAAACAATAAAAACAAAAACTCACATAATCGTACAACATGAGTTCATCTTTTTCGCCTGCTTGTAGAACATTTTCGACTCTGCCCGTTAACCGCCACCAACAATAACAATTCCATTTCCAAAGGATATGATCCGAAAGATCGTTCGACTTTCCCACCAGATCATCCAGCTTCGTACCTCGCTCCAGCACGCTGTCAATCGTCTTATTCTGCATTTTCTCATCGCTTTATCCACGAGCCTACCAGCACGTTCTTTGTCTCGTCGATCTGCGTGTTGATCTGCGTGATCTTATCGCATTTCGCTGGATCTTGATAGTCCTGCAGCGTCTTCGCCAGGGTGGGAACAGGGAATTGGTTGTCCTCCTTCGCGTTCTTCCAGCGAGCCCTGCAAGTTAGCACAGCTACAAATGACAAAAAAGTACATGTATTTGGTGTCGAAGTCATCGAGCAATTTCGTCTCCAAATTGAACGCCACACGCGCCGGATATTCCTTATCCGTTACGATCACCGCACCTAATCCATCCTGACGAAGGTAACAATGACACATGTATTCTATGCGAAAAAACACACAGAAACTGGCTACCCTCGTGGGATACACTCTGTCGTTCAGCAAAATTCGTTCTCTGGATCAGTGTTCGCGAGATGAAAGTTAGCATCTGCTTCACCCTGCAAATCAAAACAAAGAGAAGCCATCCTACGCAGTCTTCTGGAAATAGCTAAACTGCGAAAGTTCGCACTCCTGGCAAAGAACGACTGGTTCAGGGGTATCCTTCTTCCACTTGAGAATAGCAATGCTGAGCACCTTCATGGTTGAGTCTACTGTTCGTAGATGTGTTTTTTTAATGTGATCAAAGCTCCTTTTTGTGGTACGATGATGTCTATCTACTCTCCATTGTTTAGTGTTTATTGCATTCTTTTCACGATGATCTATTTCAATTTTCAACAACCACGGGGAATGGACAATTTTGGCCAGGCATAATAATCATGACTTCATGACCACTGTGCAGTCTCTGAGAAACCTGCCATCTCTAGATATTCTTTGGAGTCACTCTAATCAATATGGTGGTAAAGTACGTATCGATTCCCACACATTCTAACCATTTATAACTTCATTTCTCACTTTTCCTAGGACTTTAACCTGCTCTTTCTCGGAGTACAAGATTTATCCTGGACACGGAGGCATGTACATCCGCAAGGACGGACAGGTAATTTCCATTCTGTTTTGCTCATCTCCAGCCCGTGCACTTCCTCAATCACAAGTGCTGCTCCCTGGGTTCCCAGAAGAAGAAGCCTGCTCGTATTCGATGGACTACTGCCTGGAGACGTAACAACAAGAAGATCGAGGTAAAGAAGCTGAAAATCGTAAATTGAATAGGCTGCTGAGAAGAGCAAGCGCCGAAGCAAGAAGTCGTTCAAGGTTCAGAAGGCTATCTGCGGCATGAACGTGCAAGATATTCAGAAGAAGAAGGATCAGAAGCAGGAGATTGCCAAGAAGTCGCGTGAGGCCATTCTTGCGTATGAAATTTGAATAATGAATAAGGGTTAGTGAGATCAAGAACCGTCGTGCGAAGAAGGCTTCTCACAAGTAAAAGGTGATTCTGCTGCGATTAGGGTACTTGTGAAAAGAATGAATGAATTGTTTTGTTGATATCAAAGGAGATATAAAGAAAAGAAAGGCAAACAATCAAAGTAATGAAACTACATTTCCACGTTTCTCGATTCATATTATCCAAATTCGGGTATTATAGCGCTATTGAAAGTCAGAAATGCCTTCCTATCAAGACGAGGACAAAGAGAGCATGTATGGATATGTTCTGAAGGTTTCCGGACCTTGTAAGTGTTTGGTTGAAGGGAAGTAAGGATTTAGTGGTTGTAGCTGACCATATGTCTGGAACAAGTATGTATGAACTGGTGAGAGTGGGATATGACCGTTTGGTGGGTGAGATTATTAAACTTGAAGGCGACACTGCTTCAATTCAATGTTACGAAGAGACTGGTATTGAAACAGATAAATATTGACAAATAGCGGGTCTAACGGTGGGTGATCCTGTACTTCGTACAAACACTCCGCTTTCTGTGGAATTGGGTCCTGGTATCATGTCAAACATTTTTGATGGTATTCAACGACCTTTGGAGGTTATTTACAACCAATCACACTCTCCCTTCATTCCTCGTGGAGCGGATGTTCCAGCGCTGAATCGGTAATTCTATTTTTGGATTATTGATTAATGCACAGAGACCGGAAGTGGTTATACACCCCTCTGCATTTCAAGGAAGGCGATATCATCTCGGGCGGTGATATTTTCGGTGTGGTGTACGAGAACGAGCTGATTCCGGAGCACAGCATCATGTGTCCTCCGAATCTGAAGGGAACAGTGGTGAAGGTGTATGGTGGTGAGACGGACGGCAAAGAAGAATTGACTCTGAACGACACGCTGCTTGAGGTGCGCGACGAGACGACGGGCGTGGTGAGCAAGCTGACGATGTCCCACCTGTGGCCGGTGCGCAGCTCGCGTCCGGTGATCGAGAAGCTTCCCGGGAACCACCCGCTGATCACGGGCCAGCGCATCATCGACACGCTGTTCCCGTCGGTGCTGGGCGGCACGTGCTGCATCCCCGGCGCGTTCGGGTGCGGGAAGACGGTGATCTCGCAGGCGCTGTCGAAGTACGCGAACACGAACTGCATCGTGTACGTGGGGTGCGGCGAGCGCGGAAACGAGATGGCGGAGGTGCTGTACGAGTTCCCCGAGCTGAAGACGGAGCTGAACGGGAAGGAGATCGGCATCATGAACCGAACGTGTCTGGTGGCGAACACGTCGAACATGCCGGTGGCGGCGCGCGAGGCGTCGATCTACACGGGAATCACGATCGCGGAGTACTTCCGCGACATGGGAATGAACGTGGCGATGATGGCGGACTCGTCGTCGCGCTGGGCGGAGGCGCTGCGAGAGATTTCGGGCCGTCTGGGCGAGATGCCCGCGGACAGCGGCTACCCCGCGTACCTGTCGGCCCGTCTGGCCGCGTTCTACGAGCGAGCCGGCCGCGCGCGGCTGATCGGATCCCCGGCGCGCGAGGGCTCCGTGACGGTGGTGGGCGCAGTGTCCCCGCCCGGAGGCGACTTCTCCGATCCCGTGACGACGGCGACGCTGTCGATCGTGCAGGTGTTCTGGGGACTGGAGAAGAAGCTCGCCCAGCGAAAACACTTCCCAGCCATCAACTGGCTGGTGAGCTACAGCAAGTACGACCGCGTGCTGGAGCCGTTCTTCGCGGAAATGGACCCCGAGTTCATCGCGATGCGCAACCGCGTGCGCCAAATCCTGCAGGAAGAGGACAATCTGCAGGAAATCGTGCAGCTGGTGGGAAAGGAGTCTCTCTCGGAGGACCAGAAAGTGATCATGGAGGTCGCGAAGATCATCCGCGAAGACTTCCTCCAGCAGAACGCCTACTCCGAGTACGACTTCACCTCCCCTCTCCACAAATCGGTGGGAATGCTCCGAATCATCACCCATTTCTACGACTGCTGCATGAAGGCCATCCGCGATTCCCCCGTGGACGCCAAGGTGACGTGGGCCCACATCAAGGCCTCGATGACCGATCTGATCTACAGAATCACCTCCATGAAGTTCTATCACCCGAAACTGGCGGTGGAGGAAATGAAGGCGAAGTTCGACGAGCTGTATGAAGACATCGACAAGCAATTCCGAACATTGATGGAATAAGGGAAGCAAAGAAGAAGGAAGGAAGGAAGGAAGGAAGGAAGGCAAGAATAATGGGATAAAGGAAGAAAGAAAGAAAAGTATTTTGTGGTATGCTTTTTGCACTGTTTGTGGGTATACATTACTACTACGCATGTCCTTGCTGCTTCGAAAGGCCGCGTGTGCGACACGAACGCTCGCTAGGGGACTGTTTGGGTTCGGAAAAGCCGGTAAACAACGGCAACAAATCCAAGAAGCGCAGAGTGGATTCTTTTCGGATATTTTATATTTAGAAATGTGTTCCGTCTTTGTGGATCCATTGTCGAAGGTTGGTTAGCCCGAGTGAGCGATTATACTCTAGACTGATCTCAAATATATACCGGAGCGGAATGTTTTTCTAGCAGAAACGATCGGAGTAGAATACGTAGCGATTCGTGCTGATTTTCTCAAAACTAGCCAATTCGCGATGGAATTTACATTATGAGTCCCAATGAAGCAACTTTAGTGATCGCAGAAGAAAAGCAATCAACTGTTTGATCCAAACAAACAAGAAAAGCAGATACAACACCATCCACGGTGATGGTAAACGACGTTTTTCTTTCTCCCAGCAATGGCGAGAAAATCACATAAAAATCACGAACAGGATTCGTGGGAACATTGCCCTGTAACTCCTCAAAAATGGATGTGAACTTGTCAATATCCGCTATTGTGATGGCTGGATACGTTTCATTCCGTCGGCACAACATGTACCGATTTTGAGTAAACTGGGTAATTGTGCTTCCTAATGCTGGGATAACGGGCTGTCCTGCGCGTTTAGACAGGAATTCGCCGGTTTCCGTGTAGAACGATGTGATCTGGTTAATCACGATAAAAGTGAGCTGACGCGTTTGTGTCAATTCTTTCATTCGCATATACAGAGATCGAAACACTTCCGCACGCTTTATATAGTTCTAATGGAGAGTCCTATCCTTCCAATACAGTGGTTCCACTACCACGAAACAGAGATGTGATCGAATCGATGATTACCACGCGAATCGCACTGTTTGATGGATTTTTCAATCGGTCTTCAAGTGAATCCTGCACTATTTAGAGAGATGAATTACCTTACGAGTAAACTCACCAAATCTTCGTAGGAACGCACTTTGTTTTCGATAAATATGTTCTCACTAATCTGATCAATAGAAAACTCGGGATGGCGGCTCTACAACACACGATTCTCTCCACAAATACGCAAAATGCGTTTGAAATATCAGCAAGACGTTGTGTAGAAAATGATGACTCCGTATCAATGTACAATGCTTTTCCATTGACTCCACGATCCTTCTCGCTTAAAATACACTGCTTATCAAAGCTAAAAAATCAAAATACATTGACAGCCAGCTGAATAGCGAGTTGGGACTTTCCAGATGAAGATTCTCCCGTTATCTATACTAAGAACGACTAACAATCCACAAACTTCCGTAATGGAATGCAGCGGAATCCCTCCCTTCAGACATTTGTCAATCGATCGACACCCTGTTGTTAAAAACGCCGTTTGTTGCTGTTGGAGCAGCTCTTCTGCAGTCTGACATTGCTCCAGGATCGCGCTCATTTCCTTAAAACAAACATGCCATATAGTACAATAACACTGTTCCTGCAGTCTTCTGATCTCTTCTCTGCGTCTAGGAGAAGCGGAAAGCGAATAGAGAATCGAAATGACATCCTCCATGACGTCGAGCGTCTTCTCCTCCAGCGGTCCCAAATCCAGCTCCTCGTCGATTCTCCGTTCGATCTGCACCTCCACAAAGGAATGCATTGCGGCCTCCATCTGCAACACAAACAAAGCGAACTGCCTCTGCGTTTCATTCAACGCAGCGATTTCGCTCCACCTCACATTCACAAATGGACTCTCTATCTCCTGATTCAACACCGCGCTCACCGCCTGCTCGATCCCGACCTCCTTCTCTTTTGCCGCCAAATCCACGAAATCGCGAAGCGACCGCTTTCCTTCATGCGGAAATCGCGTCGGAACCGGCCCCTTGCCCTTCACCACGAACGCTTTCAACGCTTTCCGGAACTCGGAGGGCGGCAACGCGTCGATTGCGTCCGAAAACTCGCGGATATCTACCATCAAAGCGTGGAAACCGTGGAAACCGATCGTGTTTTTGGCTCTTTGCGCGTGGTTCAGCAGAACGCAAAGCGCCAAATCGGCGAGAAGCGCGGATTGCTGCGCTCGCTGCGAAGTTCGCAAGAAATGGAAGAGAATTCGCTGCATGACGGCGTCCAGATTGCAGTTATAACAGCATTGAAACGGCGAAGTGGATGCTGAAATGTTTACAAGAGCGAATAGCAATTGATGGAGAAGAATGAAATCGGATGATGACGATGATGATGATGAAGAATGAAGCAACAAAATGGAAGAAATTTCACTGAGTTCATGAATCAAAAATCGATGAAAATACACAAACAACTGGCGGTTTTGATAAAACGAATTCGAATTCATTCGCCACAACCGCAGAAACGTCAACGGATTCAATCGGCGAAACAGCGATTCCGACTTCCCCGCGGAATAGTATTCCGTCAGCGACACGGCGAAGCGACACAATTCCTCGGTTTCCTCGGTTTTCATCACCGGAACTCCCTCCATTTCCGTACGAACCCGCGGTTTTTTCGCCAGCCAATCCACGTCCTGACAGAAAGATTCGGCTCGTTTCGATCGGGGTTTGTCGACTGTTAGCGCGCTTAACAGCCTTTCCAGCGCGTTGATTGGCTCCTTCTTCGCCGTTTGATTGACTTGATACAATGAAAGCATCCCATGCAACACCCCGACGATTTCGCCGTCCGAGTCAAACAGACGCAGAAATTGTTCCACGATCGCTTTGGGAAGCGTACAGTGGTTCATCTCTATCAATAACCACGGTCGAATGTGCTCGAGTGGCACGAGTTTCTCCAGCAAATGCGCCAAAACGGACCAGAAAAAGGCGGAATAACTGGAATTCGAGGATTTGCGGATGATTTGCTTGAGTGTCGCCACGGCGTGGAATTAAAGAAACACAAACCGAATCCAAAGGATATCGTCAGGCGTCCTGGCTCCTCCATTTTTCCAAAAATCGACACGATTTCAGTCACAGCACTTTCGTACTACAAAACAATGATAAAAACCCGATCAAATGCAAACCGAATTCGCGGCGACGTTGGGCAGAACAGTTCCGAGCGTATCGACGACGGCTTTCCACATGTTTTGGCGCAGTTCGGTGTGAAGAAACAGCCGATCCATGATGGTATTCAACTCGTGGGGCTGCTCAGCGATCCATTCCTTCGCGTTATTTCAAAAATAACCGCGGCATACGCGAATTCGTTTCACGATGGAGGTCACAATCGCGGGGTTCTTGCAGTTCTCGCGGGTTCGGGAGAGAACGAGGTACGTCAACGCGCTCTGAAGCTGGCAGGGCTGTCGAATGTCCTGCGAATGAGAGAAGAGGAAACGTGGAAACGAGGTTCTCGACGTAGGTGAGGAGGATGGGAGTGATGCTTGAGTTATTGAGATTGATGCAGTATTGGAGAAGACACGTGAAATCGACAGATCGCATGTAACTGACTAGAAACGAATCTCGAAAAGGAGAAATGGAGGTACAGAGATCGCAATACGCGCAGACATTCGTGATAATCGAGGCGTAGTCTTCGGTGAGCTACCAATAAGGGGAAACGTGGAAACGAACGAGTTGATTTCGGTCTTTTGCGTCTTTTCGCATGACGTAAATCATAACTTTTTGCAACTAGAAATGATTCATTCCTCGCTTTTCGCTACCAGCGAGCTCGAGTTCGTTTCCAATTCCATTTGCCGCGGGAAAACGCACGTCAGCAAACACTACACGCCATCGTTTCTTCCAAAAAACGCCCACCATGATGAAGACAAGTTTGGTTTTTCCGATGTTTTTGTAATACTCCGTTTTCCCGCTGGCTTTGATCATCTCGGCAGTGCTGTAAATCAGCTCCACGACGCTCGACGAATCGTTTGCGTCCACGTTGCAACTCTCCGGGAGCTCAATCAAATGCATCCAGTCGATTTCCTTCTTCTCTTTCGCAGTGGTGTGCTGCAGATATGCGATTCCAAATAGCCTTTCGAACACTGCGATGCTCACAAACTCCACGGCCCCCTGATATGAATCGGGGTTTCGGTAATTGTTATACTTTGTTATGAAGAAGAGGAATTTAAAAAGCCTTCGGAAATGGGCAAAGGAGCAGAAATTCGACAGATACAGAATCGTATTCCCCATGTTGTCTCCGTACGGCGACATCAATCGTTTGTCCTTCATGGATGTGGAGGTGTACACGTTCCCATTCATCAGAATTTCGTTGGTTCGATAAAGCTCCTTCCAGTTCCGCGAGAACAAATACATCATGTCTCCCAGAAAGTTCACGAACATCGCGATCACCATCTGGTTCTTCTGCTTCGACAGAATCGACGAGATCACCGCGGAAACCTCCTCCACTTGGATCGACCGCTCGCGAAACCGCTGCAACGGACGCACTTTCTCCTGCATGATCGTTCTCCGGATGTGAATCGCGGAGGAGAACACCAGATAAATCAGAAAGAAGAGATTGCTCAGCGAATAGACGTCCTCCATGGACTCGTTCTCTCGACACACGCAACACACGCAGTTAATAATCCCCATCGCGTACTCCGTGGGCGCGCACGACATCAGATTCATCAGGAACGACATGGAGGAGATCACCATGTTCAGCAGTCCCTCATACGACCCCATTCGCTGCGGGTCGAACGATAAAATGCTCACGGATTGCTCCAGTTCTTTCATGATCGACCGCGTCAACTCGCGCAGCGTCTCCAAAATCGTCGCGTTCCCGTCGGGAATCCGCTGAATGCAGTTCTGCGCAATGCTGAGAACCTGCGTCTGCAAGGCCGGGCTGAAGAGAACCATCGCCAGCTCGGGCGTCTTGTCCAGAAGGGAGTTGAGTTTGTTTAAGTAGACGTTGAGCATGTCGTGCGTCGTTGCGAAGATGGTTTGGATCGTGTAGGAATGGCTGGGCTCCACGAAGCCGTGGATTCGAAGGTACTCCTATACTCGAATTGGAATAGTGTTCCAACAGCTGTGTTCTGGAAGACTCGCTCGATTAGCATTTTGGTGTAGTACTGAAGATGCTCTGCGTCGAGCCATTCCTGAATAAAATTGATTGGATTGATCGTACGCGAATATGCGGAGCCACGATCGGTAAAAAGGAGGGGATAACGCTCAATGTGCAAGATGTCATCACTACGCCTTCTGTCACTTCGGAAACGGGCTGCTCTATGAATGGCTGGATGAATTCCAGAGAGGAATCGCAAATCTGGGCGAATTCATCAGAAGAGTAGGCGCTTGCGGAGTTCGCATCTCAAGTAAATGAAAGACAAGGAGGAGGTACCAAGAGCGTGTCTGAAGACAGAAATGATTCGAGTCACAAAAGTACGATAGACTTTTTCGTCAACCCAGCACCTCTTGGAGCATGCATCTTGAAGATAGAGGGGAAAAAGAACTGAATGACAGAGAAATGAACATTCTTACACAGCGGAAGCTTTTCCGTTTTAGAAAATATTGTGATAAACAAATGGATCGCAGATAAGTATTTTGTTTGGTATTCAGAGTCCGATAAGTCTAGCAAAACTTTCTCAAAGATCTTTTCGATCTCTTCTCCAGCAATTTGATATTCTCTTGACCCGATGAGTTGGATAAACTCGTCAAGCTAAAGGAATGAATGAATCAAACGAATGCTACCATATTATCTGTTGATTCTTGATTAGTAAAACATGAGAGTAATTTCTATCAATTACAACAACAAAAATCAAGAACCTGTAGAATCTCAGCAACAGTACTAAGATTCTGAGAAGAGCACGCTTCTTCAAATTGCTTAATAGTTGGAGCTTCCATTTCCAACAAAAAACTGAGAGAAAGAAATGAAAGTGAATTGTGTAAATAGTTCAACCTTACCATGGCAGACTATGTTGAAAGGAGAATGTAGAACAGGTAATATTCTGCTTGGAAATGCTATTACGAGCACAGATTACAACTCTTGAGGAATGTGTTGTCAACCAACAAAAAAGAGATAAAACGATAGATCACTTCTTTCCTTTCTTCATCAACTTCTTTTTACTCGCCAAGACCTGAGTCCCCAAGGTGGCCTTCGCCCCCATGAAGCTGAGATCGATTTGCTTGGCGTTCTTTTCTTTCGTTTCCTTCTTATCTTTCGTTTCCTTCTTTTCTTTCTTCTCTTTCTTTTCTTTCTTCTCTTCGGTCTTCTTCGTCGTCTCTACCGTCTTCTTTTCCTTCGGCTTTCCCGCTTTCTCCTTCTTCTCTTCCTTCTTCTCCGCATCCGCCTTTCCCTCACCTCCCTTCTCTCCTTTTTCTCCCTGCGTTCTTTTGCTTCCCTTGCTTCCCTTGTTTCCCTTGTTTCCCTTATTTCCCTTCTTTCTTCCCTTCATCGCCGCATCGCGCATTTTCTTCCTCTCGATCGCTTCCTCCGACTGCAAATACCGGCTCACGCGCAGCTCGCGGCCCTTAAACTCCTTCCCGTCCAGCAGCAACGCCAGCGGCATCTCCACCGCCGACTAATCTCAACGCCGCTCCCGGCTCCTACCTTCAGCGTCACATAGCCGAAGCCCTTTCCTTTCTGCAAATCTTTCGATCGGATCAAGCGGACGCTCTCCACGAATTCTTCGTGGCTCCCTTCCTCCAGGTGCGTCTTCTGCTTGAGCATTCCCGACTCGAAGAAGGAACGCAGCTCTTCTTCGTCGGCGTCGAACGGAAGGTTGCCGATAAACAGCGTGCGGTGGTTCCGCTCTTTATCAAACGGTTTCTTCTTCTTGGAGACGCGGTCGACTACAATATGGCGGTCAAAAAGAAGCTGAAATTGAAGAACAAGGGAGTGGTTACTGTGTTATTCAAAACTAGAGCGGCCTCAACCGATTCTTTCTGTTCGTAGACGATATAAGCATTGACACACTTTTTATCTTCACTTAGCTTGTTCTTAATCACAGAAGCTTTCTTTAACAGTTTTTTGTCGAAATGGGAAATAGGCGTTGATTCGACGCTAATCGAGCGGAAGCGGAGACTTCGAATCGATCCAAACTTAGAAAAGACCTTATGAACTTGAGAAGGCTTTTGAACCACAGAAGCTAGAGAATGACACATCCTATTCTAGATTTACTTGGTAGATTACCAACAAAGATGGTGTATGCGTCAAATTCATGCTTGTTCACAGCTTTCTTGGAAATGCGTGTTTTGGTCTCTACCTTCTTTCCAACTTCAATAGTTCCTTTTGTTTGTTCTGAAGGGAGCTTACTGAAACGAACTTTGCTAGATTCCGAGAAAAGAGAATTCCCAGTAGTATTTTGCGAAACTTGCGTGTCAGAATTAGTTTCACTTTGCTGCTGATCAGTATGCATTGCTGTAGAGTTGTCTTCTTTTCTAACCACTCAAATGAAAAACAAAACGGATTACACCATTTTCTCTCTTGCCACAGTTCTAAATAAATGAACTAAAAAAAGAAATGCGAATTGAAAATAAGAGTAAAAGGAAATGAGGCATCCACAATATAAGCAGACATAAGTAGTTATGTTTTGACGTGTATTGCGCGAAAATTATTATTGGCCAAAGTCACCCCTTAGACCCATCTACTATCGCTTCCCGTTGCTGCCCCTGGATATTTTGAATTCTGTAGTCTTCATAAGAAATAAAGTGCGAAAATGATAACTTTAGCTTTTTTTGCTTACACCCGCTGTCTATGGTAAAGAAGATACACTACTCCATGTTCATTCAAGGCTTACCTGGGAATAGTTCATTCCCCTGGATCAACCCTTACAAGTATCGGAACCCTTACATCACTTCCATGACTGTCCTCTTCAGACCCAATCAAGTCATGTTCAACAATGTGGATTCTGCTAATGGGGTCAAGAACTCCAATGACGAGGAACTAACGATTCCTCATGGATACTACACGATCCCTGAAATCATTGTTATCCTCAACACCATGACTGATACTACGTTCTCGATATCTACGAAGGCTTCGAGTTATAGATGTATTTATATCCAGTTCACACACACCATTGACTTCACCAATGCTCCGGATATTCGAGAAATCCTCGGTTTGGAAGGACAAATGGTCATTCTACCCGCTTCGTTCTATGGATCGAACGTGATTGATATCACGCGAAATCGCCAAGTGATCCAAGTCTACTCGACGATCGTGCGTTCCTCCGATCTGAAGATTGCCAACCAGAACAACAATCTGCTCACCACGATGATCATTGACGATCCAACGGTTGATTACGTGCGAACTGTGGAAGACATCTGCATTCCCATGATAACCCGATTCGATCGATTGATGTTCCTATTCCGCGATATGGATGGTAATATCATGCGATTGAACGGCGAATTCGAACTCCAACTGACGATAGAAGTTGTGTTTGATCAAGTGCCTTCCTCAATTCTACCGATGAACCAGTTGAGTATGATGGAAGTGTTCGGCAATACTACGAAGAAGGAAGTGAAGCTGGACAATCCTCTGTCATTTGATCAATGTTCCATATCGTCTGTGACGTTGTATACCGATTTCGTGTTGCACAACGTACCAACCGATCAAGTGATATTAATCGATGCGGGAACATCCCCACACGAGGTGTTAATACCCAGAGGAGCCTACGACATCACGAACGGCATGAGTGTGATCCGAGTCTACAGTAGTATCAATGCTCAAACATTCGGTCTGAAGAGTCCGCTGATCGATAACCTGATTCATGTATCGATGGGACTGAACAACATGATCACCTGGGACAACCTATCGATCGATGTGATTGAACAATCGAACTTGGATTCCATTGATTGGGTACTGACAGATGCAAATGACCGTCCGATCTCATTGAATTCGAATGTGTACATCTCATTTATGATATCTTGTAAGCACAACTTCAGTAAGGTATTCAAGAAGATAGATAGATAGATAGATAGATATCAATGTCTATCTTCTATATACATATATCTATATATCTGAAAAGTAATAGTTTGATTGTTGTCTCCAACAAATAATCAGCCAGATATGTCTCACAGCTTGATATTGGACAACTACTCATTCCCATAGAGTCCATTCTTATGGATTTCAGCTTTATCATCAACAATACTGATATCGCTATTAGTGAGTAATTCTATTCATCCTAATGAGTTGGGAACCAAAGCATTTCACTTTCATCAACCAACTCAAACAGCAAGTATTATGTATACTATTGTTATTCATGCTCGTAATAGAACAACATTGTGAATCACTTTGTATCCCTATTGAAGTGGTGTACAATTCGATCCTTCCTTTAAATAGGAGATATTCTGCATTATTTGGCAGGTGGGGGATACTATAAGGGATAGTATTCTCTGGCAATATAACAATCTCTGATAGGTTCAGAGTGCATCAAAACGACAAAAACTGGACACCAACTATCCAAAAACCTAGAAACAGTGGAATATGAATATATCTCTATTTGTTCGTATAAAATATATTATGTATTCTACCTTATTTTGCTCGAGTTCTTCCTAACGACACACCCACCTTTCTCACAAACTCTACTATTCGATTCTACTATACACATATCACATATTATTTATATAAATGATAACCCAAAAACTGCTTATCGCTAGCTTTTCCATTTTCATTCCTATCATCATCTTCTACATACCCTATTTCTTTCTATCCCATCTATATAAAATTCCAAATGAATAGAACGAAAAACAAAACGCTTCCACTGGAAACAACACTCTTCGATCTATTCATTCCACAATATCCCATTTCCGCTCATCTCCTTCCACTTCACAGTAAAAACAACTCCCTCCCTATTCGAAATCTATTCTTCCACTCATACCCAATTTCAATACTATTTTCACAATTGCATAATTCCTGTCTATTTTAGAAATCATTTGTTTTACAATAAAAGCTATTAGCTTCGTCTTACTGGGTTTGAATGTATTCAAAATTTGGAATTGGACTTGTATGTCCTGTCTTTTGTTTTGTTTTGTTTTGTTTTCGGACTTCTATGTGTTTTTGTGTGTTGTGTTGTGGGAGTGTAAGTATTGTAGCTGGGATGGGTTCTGTCGTCAAGTTGGTGTGTTTGAAGAAGCTAGTGTAGTGTGCGCTATCGTTACTTTGCCTAAACTGTGTGTGTGTGATATGCATCGTGAACGCATTCAATACCATAATGGCGGTGGACCCTGGTTCCATTTTTGCTGTGTGGAGTGTGTTCCGAGTGAGTAATTTCTGTACTTCAAACTGTGCAACGTGGCGAACCCATTCATGGCATGTGTGACCGCGGATACATGGAGATAACTTGCAACGTGGGAGGTATCTGGTACAGGCACGACGTTCTTGCCTAGGATATCTGTTCTGTTTCTCGTATTTTCATTTTCATATTGTGAGGTGGTAGAGTGTGGTAGAGAGAACGGATTTGCGATGAGTGAAAGGGCAAACTATGGGAGCAAGAGCTGTAGGTTTGTAGAAGCGGAGCGTGTATGGAACTTGGGAGAATGGGACAAGAAGGCGGAGTATGCGAACTGCTGTGGGTACGGTCCTCACCTCTGATTGATGGGAGCCGAGTGAACTGGAATGGCCAGTGGGAGCAGGCGAGTTCCAAGACGGTGCAGTTCTGCATTTGTGGGTCTGTGGAGCATGGGAAGGTGGAGGTGTGCGTGGTGCGGGCGTGTGGGAAGTGGTGGAATGGAAGAGAGGTGAGGTGCGTGGCGGTGGTGTGCCCCGCGGACGAAGCGGCGGGGTAGCCGGAAGGGCACTTGGGGCAAGTGTTGGATACGAAGTGCGATGTGGACTAGTGGGGCATGATCACGGATGGGTGCAACGCCTATCAGCAGTGGGAATCGATCGATCGATAGGGGACGGGCTCCTGCCAGCCCATCCTGCCGATGCTGCGCTGCACTGCGCTGCGTGGCGGGCGATGGGGCGAGGGACGTGGCGCTGTGGACGATGGGAGATGGGAAGCAATCCACGATGTACTGCACGAGCAATGTGGGCGTGGGCGAGGTGATCAACGACCCATTCGAGCCCATGAACATCCACATCGTGTTTGAATTGGCCGAGGCCACGTTCTCCTATCCCACCACCGCGATCTCCATCTCCGACTACACCATTGGGTTTGCCTTCGCCTTCGCCTTCGCCTTCGATGGCTCCTTCCCGCGGTTCTGCGAAGGCACGCACGCTCTACATCAATGCCAACAGGTTGGTGTCCCGAAACGGCCTCCCCTTCCCCGCGGAAACCCTCATCGCGACCTTCTCGACCCGCGCCGGCGTTCGGTTGGCGTTCGGTTGTCGTTCGGTTGTGGCCTGCTCGGATTGTGGAGAGCGCGATTGGTATGAGGGAAGTGGAGTAGGCGCAGCGCAGCGCAGCGTGTGTGTGCAGATGGAGGTTCCCTGGAGCAGTGGCATCTCCGATGAAGCCCCGATGGATGGCCTTGATGGGCAGCAATGTGCAGAGCCAGTTCTTCGAGACGCGCTCCGTGTTGGTGGCGGGCGCCATTGGGAACAGCGTGATGGCCATCAGCTGGCGTGTCCGCAAGGGCGCCTCCTGGTCCGCCTTCGCGTCCTTCTCCGTCTACCGCCCCGTCGTGCTGCTGCCTGCCTGTCTCCCTCCCTGCCTCCGCGCCCGTCGTGCTGCTGCCGCCTTCGAAGCCACGCAGGTGCGCTGGGTCTGGTGGTGGTGCGAGCTCTTCGTGCAGGCCTTGGTTGGCTCCCACTCCCAGCTCTTCGCCGCCGACGCGCTCCTCCAAGAGGGCGACGTCCAGCAACCCGAGCTCTCTCTCTCTCTCTCGATGCGTGCGTGGCCTACTGGGTGCGCGTGGCGCTGTGCTCCGCCGCGTGCTCCATCCTCTCCGAGGCCTCCTCTCCCATCACCCTCGCCGCGTATGTCGTCGCGCCCGGCGCGGTGCAGAACCTCGAGGTGGCCGCGCTCTCCTCGACCTCGCTGCGCGTGCAGTGGGCAGAGCCGGCGGAGCTGGGCGGCGCCAGCATTCGGTACTACGTGGTGCGACGCTCGTGGATGGCGTCGATGGCCGTGATCCAGAGCGAGAGCGAGAGCGAGAGCGAGAGCGAGAGCGAGGTCGCCAGCACGAACTGCTTCCTGGACCTGCAGAGCGTGCAGAGCGTGCAGAGCGTGCAGAGCGTGCAGAGCGTGCAGAGCGTGCAGCACGCGCCCATCTATCTGAGCGTGGCCGCGTTCAACGGGTATCTCTCCCGCCACGAGAAGATCCCCGCGGTTCTGTATGCGGTGTGTGTGGAATCAGGCGGAGGGCATTGAGTGGGACTGTGCGATGGCGATTACCGGATCCTTCCATGATCTCTGCACCGCCACGTGCGAGCTTCGCGCTCCCGCGACTTCCTCCTTCCTCCTTCCTCCTTCCTCCTTCCTCCGAACCGTCTGGTTCCCCGCGGGACGCGATGTGTGGGACGTGTTGGAGGGTGGGATCCCCGCGACTTCCTACACGCTGGAGTGCGTCCCGAGCGAAGTGGGCAGTGCCGAGTGGATGGGCAGGCAATTCGGAGTGTCCACGATGGCCACGTCGGAATTCGTTGGGTGTTGGTGGTGGACGGCGAGCCAACCTCCTCGCTCACCGGTTCGCTCTGGGTGTGGGTGTGGGTGTGAGTGTGAGTGAGCAGGAATCTGATGGGCGATGGGGTGGGGTCCGTGGCTCCCTACGAAGGTGTGCAGAGTCGACCGGGCTCTCTGGATCTCTTCCTGTCCAACTGGGCGCAGAACGCCACCGTGGTCTCCGTCACCCAGCCCCTCCGCCTCCGCCTCCGCTTCCGCTTCCTCTTCGCCTACGACGTGACCGGCGCGCTCATCCGCGCCCACCTCGTCGATCACGCCTGGTGCGCCGTGGGTCGCGATGTTTCCACGTTTCCACGATCCAGACCGATTTGGCAGTTGCTGAGAGAGAAATGGTTGCGGTGTTTGGTTTGGAAGATGGATGGATGAATGGATGGATGGAATTGTAGAGATGTGGAATGGTTGAAGCGTTGTAGGATTTGAATGAGAATCGAAAATGTGTTTAGGAAGGAAGGAAGGAAAATGTAGATTTAGAGTGTGTAGGGTGTTGGAATGATTTAGAAACATGAACAGAATAATCCAGAACGAGGAACCAAACGACTCTAGTTGATAATAATAGAGTGCTGTGAGTTGATAGTTGAAACAAAGACAGATAGATAGAAAGAAAGAAAGTGTATTTAGAGTTAGTTGGTTGGTTTAGGATAAGGAAATGATAGAAAATGGAGTGAATGGTTAACGATGTGCGAAGATAGGTTCTTTGTGTGAAAATCACTGGATCAAAACCAATTTCCATTCCATTCCATTCGATTTGATTTACTAGTTTTACTAGTTTGAATTGCTTTCAAACCCAACCAGTCCCAAGTCAAAATGATTTGGCTAGAATCATGGATGGATAGATTGGATTATCGAAATAATAATAATAATATAGACTATTTAGACAAAGTGGAGTGAACAACCAAATCCTTGCTTCATAACACGATTTCACTATGATATCATAAATATACAACCTATACAGACATAGTAGACAACAAAATGGACTTTTCCATTCTGAGTGTTTCCAAACAATCCTGATATTATAAATATAAATATCTATACCTCCGAACTATTTCAACCACAAAAATGTGAACAAAATGATGCGAAACACAAGTGAGTACTTCACTTGGAAATCTTGGATCCAATGTGTATATGGTAGCACTCTATCATAATTTTTAAATATGAAGAATACTTAGGTGTAAGGAAACAAACTGATCTCTCTGTTTTCTTCATAAATTCTTTATATTTGGCTACAAATTACGGATTCAAAGAGTAGAGGCTAAGGATATGTGATTATAAATAGGTAGAATGGAAGAACTTAAGGGAAGCGAATTTCTCCTGGACGGTTACATAACGCTTGGTAAACCAAAGGAAATCACTATTGGGGGCTGCAAGTATAGCCTCCAATATTATCAAGGCGATCACGAGGCTGAATACACGTTGACGAGAGCTGGTAAGGTTTGCCTATTCCAAAATGGCATACTAAAAATGTATTACGAGGTGGATGCGAACGGGAGTGAAATCGGTGACTTCACGCGATTTGATAATGGACGTGTCGCATTTGTGCAATCCTATGATGAAATCTGGGACAACAAGAATTTTCATCGTATTATAAACCATGTCCGAGGCGAGCGTATGGAAATCTATTCGCATGCGAGTGATCACCTGATATATCACGGTGAGTTCAACGAGAAGCGAGAACGAGAAGGATGGGGCATCCAATATGACGAAGAAACGGGTGCCATGCTGCTCGAGGGGATATGGAAGGGTAACAAGCTGGTGGAGATCATCCGCAAGATCGAAGGAAGCATCATGATCGAATTCAAGCGAAACGGGAACAATACCATCGCTTCGAATCGAATTCCCCTCTATGTGGGTGAATTCGTGTATGATGAATCGAAAGAATCGTTTCTTCGAAATGGTCGAGGATACTGGATCGATGAAGAAACTCGGATTGCTACTCGCGAAGTGGAATGGAAAGATGCAAAGGAAGTGAGTGGAAGAGATCTCTATGATGGATGGTACACTCGATCCACAACTCCAAAACCCAAACCCAAACCCAAACCCAAACCCAAACCCAAACCCGCTCCGATGCCTGTGCCTGCTCCTGCTCCTGCTCCTGCCTATGCTCCTGCTCCAAAACGCGAAGAACCTGCTCCTCTTCGATTCAGCGTCACTGGATCTACAAAATGGACCGATGTGAGTTTGCAAGTGACCGATTTGAAGATTTCATCGAATTGCTGTAACGATTTGAATGCATTGGATCTGAATCGATTCGAGTGGCTACGATCTATCGAAATCGGCGATGAATGTTTTGGATCAGTGAAAACATTCAAAATCGATGGATTGAATCGATTGAAAACGATCAAAATCGGAAACTATTCATTTACTCAGGAAAAGAATTGGTATGGAAATGATGAATCGAAATCATTCCACATATTGAATTGTGGATCATTGGAATCCATTCAAATTGGTGAATATAGTTTCAGTGATTTTGGAGGAGACTTTGAATTGAAGAATCTACCACAATTACAATCCATTCAAATTGGTAATATTGGAAGTAAATCATGCAATTTCTATGGTAGTTCATTTGTGATTCGAGGTATTGATATGATATTGAATATTTGAATAATGCATAGATCTTCCAAATCTACAATCCATTACATTAGGTGATGAAGCATTCCGTTATCCCTTCTCAACAATAATTGAAAGTATTGAATGAATTCGAATGAAATGATTGTTGTAGATCTTCCATCATTACAATCCATTCAACTCGGTGATTGTGCACTTGAAGGAAGTGGGAATTATTCAAGTTCATTGATAATACGAAGTAATAATGAGTTGATTTGAAATGATTTGTTTTGTAGATCTTCCAAATCTAACATCAATAACATCTGCGGGAGATAGTTTCTATTATCCTTGTGTAGTGACATTGGCAAGTATTTCTGAATATTGAATATTGATAATATTTAGATATTCCAAATCTTCAAAATGTCAAGCTACCTAATTCATTCGTGTTTGTTCGATCGAAATCAATTTGGAGTATAGTTTGATTGATTTGATTTGATTCATAGATGTTTCTTCCATTCTCGCTAATCTTGTCCACTAAATCAAGCATTAAATCTATAATTTTGATTTGATTTGATTTGTTCAGTGATTCGTCATTGTTTAGGAACATTTCCATTGATTGATTGATTGTTTGTTTGATTGTTTGTTTCAAACCGATTCTTGATCACAATTCATGATTCTATAATTATCAAAATATCAATCCTACCTGATTATTCTGATGTTCTTCTTTACCATTTTAACAATGATACTCAATTATGATTGTTGTTTCAATCAATCAATCAATCAATCAATTAATCAATCATTGTTTTCGATCATCATTATTATTATTCCCAATGACCCAATGATCACATATTGAACATTCACAAATGATGAATCCAATCTACAAATAATAATAATAATAATAATATACAAATGATGGTTTGAATAGGTTTGAACTAGGATTTGTTCAATATTGATAGGAAACTGCTTGCTTCGAATAATACTCATAATAATTATAAACATGAATAATAAGATTGGATTTGCTAGTGACACAATGGAATGGTTGGAATCGATTGATATTGGATGATTATTCACATTTGTGAATCCATTGTTAAATCGGTAGATAATACAATACAATAGAATGATTGATATTGAATTAGGATATTGATTTTGACTTATTGAATAAGAATAGATCACTGTATACATAGAATAGAATAGAATAGAATAGAATAGAATAGAATAGAATAGAATAGAATAGAATAGAATAGAATAGAATAGAATAGAATAGAATAGAATAGAATAGAATAGAATAGAATAGAATAGAATAGAATAGAATAGAATAGAATAGAATAGAATAGAATAGAATAGAATAGAATAGAATAGAATAGAATAGAATAGAATAGAATAGAATAGAATAGAATAGAATAGAATAGATTGAATGAATGACATCCTTGATACTGATTTACAGATCATTGTTTGTGAGTAGTGTCTTGAGATTGTCAATCAATTCTTAGATAAGATATCATTCATTCATTCATTCATTCATTCATTTGATCGTATAATCATTCAAATATCCCATTGCAATTCACATGATTGGTCCACTTTATACAGATTTAACGATATTTCCTTGTCAACAATCCATCATTCATTCTTATGGTACAAAATATACATAATCACAGTATGGACTCAATTCAAATCGATGTTTGTAGGATTACTCATTCATTCATTCATTTGTTTTCATTTCAGTGTTGAATTGCTGAAATTGTATCAAATCCAACTCCAATATCACAACCAATCACATTCCCATTCATTTCGATTCTCTCTCATTCACTCTTCATTATCATTATCACGTATTACATTCATAAATAACTAATATATATCATTGAATGGATTAAGATCTTAAGCAATGAATACTATTTCTTCTTTTCTTTTTTCTTTCATTCATTCATGGTACAAACCATCTCCATGCTATGTAATCTTTGTACATCCAACTCATATTCATTCAATAGATTGTGACCAATTACACAAATCATTCCAGTACTATTCTATTCACATATAGCATACAATCTGTGATAATATCTAGGAATCATTCAGTTCCAACCACTATATACCAATCATTGTGCATTCCAACTAACAATAACGGAATTTACTACAAACTCCAATCATTCATTCATTGATTGGTTATTCCAGTACTAAGTATCAACAATATTGTTCCTGTTACTCAGAATTGGTTATTTTATGAAAATGGATTTAACAGAATCAAACATTGTGTTAAACCAATGAAATGACAGAATCGTGTTTGTCTGGATTTTGTTTGTTATGAAGCAAAACTATGCATGATCTATGTAATTCGTTTCAGGATGTGATAAAACAGATCCCTGTGAAATATCATCATTTCAGCTATTGTTCGTCATAATTTGTGAAAATGACTCCATTTCTATTGCTACTTCATACATATGTTATTTTCTACTATTCTATTACATTCTAGTATTGTTGTTGTTTTCATTCATATTGGCCATTTCTGATTATTCCACACTTACCTATCTTATTTTCACAGTATTCTATTCCATGGAGCATACTAATAAGCCAAAATATACAATCAATCACAAATACACATTATTCTATCTTCCTATACAGAACAATAATGATGATTATGACAAAACATCAACTATTCACAATCAATACTATTGAGAATAACTATTGTGAAGAATCTTGTTTGTTAATACTGCTCATTCCTTCTCTCAGCTTATAACACGAACTAACAACATTATTAGTTGTCACATTTAGAATGTGAATTCATTATGGGCTTTGATACAATTCATATCACACAATATGCACCAAAATGAAACAATACACAATTGTTGTTATTCTATTGCAGATATTCATTTTCCAAGTATTGATTCAAAGTATCTTGAGACTATAGTATACAGATTAGTCATAGATCAAAGGAAATACAACAATATTTGTGGTAAATGACTGATTCATCCTTCCTATTTCTATTGATGAGTTCATCCATATTTGATACATGTCACATAACAAAATGATCCTATTTTCACTATAGCAAAAGCTCTTTCGATCAATAATAATATGATTTATCAACTTGTATCCATCTTAAACCTCATTAATATGGAACAATAGTAGTAAGGGAATGGCACTATTTGTGTGAAACCTGGTGGCAGTTTTCTTTATATGCTATTTTGCTCCATGACCACAATTGCGATCCTTTGTCCTTTGATGTAATCGACCAACCGATTCTGAGTCCTCGACTATCGTTCCTAGGCTGTCTGGTCGACAATCATCGGTCAGGAACCAGGTTTTGTGCTTTCTTACTCCAATTCCTTTCTATTATCAACCTAGTGCTCGTTTCTATTTTGTGTTTGTTGTATCAGTTATACTTGGATGCGAGAAAGCAGTAGACCTACCTAGCTAAGGTGAATTATTGTTATTTCTCTCGTATTTACATGTTTGTTTGCCTATTTGTAATGACCGAAAGCCAATGTGTGTACATT